AAGTTTTCTGGTAAATATTGAGGCTAATACTGGGGCATGGAAGGACAGAAAAAAAGCAACAAATAGAGAAAAGTGAGAGTGTTTCTGACCCTGCTCCCCACTCTGGAAGGAGAAAAGGCAACTTAGTAAACTGGGCAGGTTTCTGAGCCACCATCTCTCCTTCCAGAGCAGGTCCAGAAGTGGAAGAGGTTGAGGAGGTGAGAGTGCCATGTCCTCTTGCTGCCTCCTCCATCTCTTCCACTTCTGGGCCCATTCTGGAAGGAGAGACAGGAGCAGTGGTGAGCTGGAGCTGGTTTGCCCCAGTTTGCGTGAACCGGTTGTTAAATTTTGAAGCAGTTTTAGAACCGGTTGTTAACCCGCTTCCCTGCAGGGGGTGCTGAGGCTTTGATGGGCTTCGGCCGGGAAGTGATGTAATCAGTGATGAGCTGCCAAAATCTTAACAACTGGTTCCCTATAAAAAGTTCTGATTTAAGGGATGTGCCCCAGTATGTATTTTTTTGTACCAACAGGGTTACCATACGTCTGTATTTTCCTCCTGGACGGCAATTTAAGAACCAAAAAGCCTGACCTGTCTGGGAAAATACGGATGTATGTTAACCCTGCCTAAATTTCTTCTTTAAAAAGATGGGCCTGAACTAGAAATGAGCTCTGTTTCACATGTGCGGGTCCCCGCCACTCCCTGGGGGTGTGCTAGGGTGACCAGATGTCCCAATTTTATAGGGACAGTCCCGATTTTGGGGTCTTTTTCTTATATAGACTCCTATTACCCCCCACCTCCTGTCCTGATTTTTCACACTTGCTGTCTGGTCACCCTAGGGTGTGCACATGTGTGGGTCCCAGCTGCCCCCTGCCCCCCCCTCCTTGAAGCAGGTGTGCAGGGTTACTGCCCTGGGAACTGCAGGGCACCAGTGGACGTGGGGCTAGCTGCAGACAGGGGCGTGGGGCAGGGCTAGCTGGAGGCAGGGGGTGCAGGGCTGGTTGCGGGCAGGGCAGGGGGTGCGGAGCTGGCTGGAGACAGTAGGGTGCAGGATTGGCTGGAGGCAAGGGGGTGTGGGGCTGGCTGGAGACAGGGCAGGAAGGTGCAGGGCTGGCTGGAGACAGCGGCTGGCTGCAGGCAGGGCAGAGAGTGCAGCAGGGGCTGGTGCGGGCAGGGCGGGGGGTGTGGCAGAGGCTGGCTGTGGACAGGGGGTGTGGGGGTGGCTGGAGGCAGGGGCGGCTGCAGGCAGGGCAGGGGGTGTGGCAGAGGCTGGCTGGAGGCAGGGCAGGGGGTGGCTGGAGACGGGGGCTGGCTGCAGGCAGGAGGTGTGGGGGTTGCTGGAGGCAGGGCAGGGGGTGCAGCAGGGGCTGGCTGCAGGCAAGGAGTGCGGGGGTGGCTGGAGGCAGAGCAGGGGGTGCAGGGGTGGCTGGAGGCAGGGGCTGGCTGCAGGCAGGGTGGTGGGTGCTCACGGGGAGAGCAGCAGGATGCAGCCCAGGCCCAGCAGAGCAGCCGGGGACCCACCAGGCAGCATCAGGAGCCCCAGGGCCAGGGGGAGCAGCAGCAGCAACAGGGCTCGTGCGCAGGGCCAGGCGGCAGCCCACATGGCTCCTGCAGTGCAGCGCCCCCGAGGAATAACAGGAGCTCGGTTTCCTGGGCTGTCCAAGTTACAAAGCCACCCTCTCTACTTCCCGAGCAAGGAGCCAGGTCCAGGGAGTTCTGGCATTTCATTTTTTAGAAGTTAAGCACTGACGTACACGTGTGTGTGTCTTCCACTGCATTGCCTTGCTTTGACAGACAGCCTCACATTTACACCTAGACTAATTCATTACTAACATGAACACATGCACCTAATGGAATGGATTGGATTTTCTTAATGTAATCGGTATATTCTTGTACCTGAGTGGTCCAAAATTTGCATGAAAATGGGTAAAAAATTAAAAATAACTTTTGCAAAACCCAGGAATTTTTCATTAAAAACTGAAAACAAAGGGCCTTGCTGAAGCGTTATAATCCCTATAAATATCAGGTAAGCAGAGACAAAGATATAGCTAGGGAGATTTCCCTTGTGTCTGCCCTGAATCCCACAGAGAGAAAACATTCAACCACTCAGTTCAGTACTGTACACAACTAATGTTTTCTGCTAGTGCAGCTGGGAATTTTCTAGGTTATGCAGTCCCGGTGCCAAATACAGCCTCCATTTCAAAGAGGCCAACGCCTTCGGAAGCCTGATGAGTACATACTGTACTCATTACATTGGATCAGGACTCTGAGATTGCCTTATAACAAGATGGGCTGAAATTGTTAACTGCCTTTCCACCTGCTGCTATATGCATATTGTCTTCTGATTCTACTTCTGAGCATACTGGGGTGGTTGATACTGGCTCGACCCTCGATTCAGTTTGAGATCAGGATTTCAGTGACTAGAGGTAGCAATTATTATAGTTATGTCTAAAATGTGGGGCCTATGCCCCCACTGTCATTTACACCAAAAAAAGTGAATGCAAAGTAGGTGTAAAATGTTCCCATTCTGATTTCACTGCAGAAAATGAAGGGCAACAGTGAATTAGGCTTGTGCCTTCTATGTGAAACTCCTTTCCCTTTGTTTTCAGTTACTCATGACTTTCTCAAATTCCTTTTAAGGCTGACATTTTCTCTGTTTATTTTTCGCCCAAAGTTCAATTTTCTTGAAAAATGTCAACAATAGCGAATGAATCCTTTTGCGTTATTTGCACAGGAATAAAATACACATAGTCTTATCAGAAATGTTGTGCTTGAGTAAATCAGAACCACCAGAAGTTAGAAAAATCAAGCTAGACTCATTTTGTAGATTTAATGGACACTTATGCAGCAAGACAAATTTGCTTTTAAAAAAAATAATTTAAAATGTTCAATATGTAATTTCTGCACATTCTGCTAGCCCTTTTCTATTTTTTGTTTTTTTAATGTGCAATATTTTGAGGATGCATTTCTTATTGGACACCCAGCTAACGCCGTCTTATTCCACAGGTAAAGCCAAATGAGCTTCTAAAGTCCTCCAGCCAAATAGCTCCATATCTGGGAGCATACAAGGTGAGTAAAGAACACATCAGTTAAGGATAGTTCCATTAGAACTGTGAGAGCCAGGATGTTGAAAATACTGACAGTTCCACAGGAGAGAAAGGCTGGGAGGTCTTTAACATAAGCCCACAATCAAAGAGTTTACAAGCTTCGCTTAAAAAATGATTCTGTTTATAAGCTCCCCAAGTAAAAAGCAGGGAAATATAAATATAAACTTAATTATTTATAGTTGAAATACCACAGAAATGTCTGAAAAAATCCCACAATATTAACTCAGCACTTTGTATCTCTGCTGCGTTTTCTATTTCTATTCCTTGTTAAATGTTAATTGTAATTCGTATCATTTGTTATATATATATATATATATATATATAACAAATATATATACTGAGAGAGAGAAAGAGAGAGAGAATGGAATACCTTATTGAGTTCAGGTAGGAGTAGGGTGACCAGACATCAAATGTGAAAAATCGGGATGGGGGTGAGAGGGTAATAGGAGCCTATCTAAGAAAAAGACCCCAAAATCTGGACTGTCCCTATAAATTCGGGACATCTGGTCACCCTAGGTGGGAGTAACATTAACTTTTGGAATTTCCTGACTTTTAAGGGCTTGCCATTTCTGCATTCACACCCCATTGACACTAGTGGTGTTTTGCATGTAATTATAAACAAATTTGTTCATTTTGCATATGGTCATTTGAAAGCAGACCTGACTGATCTTGCAAATAGACTGACCATCCTGATAACCAGACAGATCCTCTGACCTTAATGGAAGACCTGCAGGCTGGCAGCTACAGAAACTGATGCTTTAGACCAGGGGTGGGCAAACTTTTTGGCCTGAGGGCCACATCTTGGTATGAAAATTGTATGGTGGGCCATGAATGCTCACGAAATTGGGATTGGGGTGCAGGAGGAGGTGAGGGCTCTGGCTGGGCTGGTGGGCTCTGGGGTGGGGCCAGAAATGAGTTCAGGGTGCGGGAGTAGGCTCTGGGCTGTGGCAGGGGGTTGGGGTGCGGAAGGAGGTTAGGGGTCCAGGCTCCGGGCGGTGCTTACCTGAAGCAGCTCCTGGAAGCAGTGGCATGTCCCTCCTCTGGCTCCTATGCGGAGGTGCAGCCAGGTGGTTCTGCGCACTTCCTTGTCTGCAGACACCACCCCTACAGCTCTCATTAGCCGCAGTTCCCAGCCAGTGGGAGCTGCGGGGTGGCGCATGGGACGGGGACAGCGCAGGGAGCCCCCTGGCTGCCCCTAAATGTAGGAGCCGGAGCAGAGACATGCTGCTGCTTCCAGGAGCCTCGGCACACGCTTGCGGAGCAGCCTCTGACCCCGCTCCCCAGCAGGAGCTTGAGGGCCGGTTTAAACCGGCTGGAGGGCTAGATGTGGCCCCCGGGCCGTAGTTTGCCCACCCCTGCTTCAGACAGATAGGCATACTGACTGAAAGGAGTGATACTAGGCTGGTACCAATAAAGGTATTGCTGCAAAGCAGAGCAGCAGTGAAAATATTGTTGGTCCTTCCTGTCCTGAGGATGTGTACACAGTTTCTGCCCTTTCTTCAGAATGTACACACACTTTTTCAGGGTGCATATTCTCTCTCTCCTTCAGAACACATTCCCCCTCTCTTTTAGGTCTCAGAACATACACACGCAGACTCCTTCAGAACTTGCACTCTATTTCTCCCTGTCTTTGGGACTTGCACATTCTTTCTTTTCTTCCTCCTTTCATTCTGCACACTAGTACCCTCTCCCCTCCAATGCAATCCAGTAGCACTCATACAGCCTTCAGGTCTAAGCCCGTCCAACAAAGGACACAGGTGTTGAGACAGATTTTCTCTCCTCTTCCTGCATCTTCTTGCAGGTTCATTCACTCCCTTCTACTGACCAGGCTTTTTAGAAGCTCAGCTGTGTCTCCTCATGAAGAAGGCACAACTTCTTCCTGGTAAGGAGAGCAGAAAACTGTAAATAAATTTTACCTGGACTCCAGAGGGCAATCCTGTGATGAGGCTTCAATGTATCTCTCTCTCTCTTTTTCTTCTCTCCTCACCGCCCCCTTTGGATTTCAGCTTGTAGTGTGTGACGTGTTCCTCTTCATATCTCTGCTTCACACATTTCCCCAATCTTTCTCTGGAACCTCTTCTAGCTGCTCTTTCTTGCCCTCCCCTCCTGTCCATTCAAGCTGAACATCTCCTCAGACACATGGGAGCCTTACGGAAGTGAAAACATCGATCAGTGGAGTTCCTTTTTAAAGTGGACCCTCTCTTGAGGGGTCTCCTCTCATCCGTGACCTTGGTTCCCCGTTGCACAGCACACAACTCTTTGGCATCCAGCACGGCTGTGCAACCTCTCTTACCATCCATAGTTTCCACTATGCCGTGTTCCTTTCTGGCAACTTGAGCCCCCTGGAGCCATCCAGCCTGGGATTTGTTCCTCAAGTTGTTTCTGCCTTTGAACAAACATGCCAATTAATTCTCTGCCGATTAGTTCATTCCTGAGCCATTGTGCCAGATCTATTTTGGTCAGAGTAAACAAGGAGGAGGATATATTGTCTGCAGTGTTTTTCTCTGCTCCCAAGTTACTTGGCTGCCAAGCCAAACAGACTCGGGCTTGGACAGTACTTGACTTAGAGACCTCCAAAGAAACATCAGGTATCACCATAAGTGATGTTGGTGACTTAGTAGAGGGTGACCTTGTCCCTCCCTGTGAGTAAGAATTGAACAAGTACTGTCTTAGGATGTGCTGAACTACTGCAGGTGCTATCCTTTGGATAAAACTTTAGTACTATGTTCTGGCTTCCTGTGATCATTACCATATCCATGGCACGATTTGCTAGTTCCCTGGCCAAATTTGAATTCTGCCTGATATTACTCCTATAGTGTCAATTGGCTGCAGTGTTTTTTTCACTTCCTTTTCTAAACCGTTTGATGATTTTGCTGTGTGCTCTTAGATAACTGCATGTTCCACCCCTGCTGCAGCTGCGTTTCAGTGGTAGGTACAATAATCCCCTTGCATAGAGTGAAGCACTTTACGATTGCTCAAGACCAAAAGCAGTGTGTGCGCACGCATGCACACGCAGTATATAGGGCCGGATCCTCAGCTGGTGTAAATCAGCAGAGCTCCTAGACCGACTTTAATGTACTTATGTTGATTTACACCAGCTGAGCATCTAACCCATGGTTTGTAAATCAGTAAAGTGCTTTGGCTCCTTCTGGGTGAAGTCACTATAGATGTCAGTCATTATTATTACCATCATTTAGTCAGCCGTTCAAACGTGCTAATCTCCAATGGAGAGGTGCCCTGACAGAGAGAGGATTGTGATTACAGAGGACTGGCTCTCCAGAGCTAGACAGTATCAGAGACACATGGTGCCAACATTTCCTCCACTCCATCTCTTAAAAAAAAGTGCCTGCATGGCGAGTGAGGTTTCTATGTCAATGTTATTGTCCATAGCACTGAAACAGTGGGACACTTACTTACGGCGTTATACAACACCAATTACATAAAGCAACCCACAATCGGAAATATTAAAACTACTCATACAGCTCCCAGAAATGTTAGCAACCCATGTTGTCAGGGATAAAAACAAACAAAAATTATACAACTATAACCCTAACGCTGATCTACATCACATGGATTTCTCACAGCTGTTCCCAGTTGAGAAGGGACTAGCACAGTCCAGATGTGCTGACACGACAGTTCAATGGAAAGAAGAAGAAACAAACTCCTGGAAGGACTCACCACTTGAAAGTTCAGGGCACGGGCACTTGATGGTGCAATAGATTGGGAAAGGGTCCCTGCAAAGCTCTGATGTTCTACCCAAATCCTGATCACTATTTTTCATAGTAAATAGTGTCTTTCAGGCCCAGTCGGGCTCCCAGCAGAGTCAATGGCAAAACTTCCATTGACTTCAGTGTGCAGGACTTCAGCCTCTAAATTACCAGTTCAAATGCAGCCTGTTTTGTTACTGAATCAGAGTTATCTGTTGGCCCTTCTGGCCTTGTGCAATTAGTTGTTAGTCTCTTGACTAGTCTTCACCAGTGGCTCTCAACCTTTCCACACTACTGTTGCCTTTCAGGAGTCTGATTTGTATTGAGTATCCCCAAGTTTCACCTCACTTAAAAACTACTTACAAAATCAGAGATAAAAATACAAAGAAGTGTCACAGCCACACTATTACTGAAAAATTGCTGACTTTCTCATTTTTACCATCGAATTATAAAATAAATCAATTGGAATAGGAATATTGTACTTACATTTCAATGTATAGTGTATAGAACAGTATAAACAAGTCATTGTCTGTATGAAATTTTAGTTTGTACTGACTTCGCTAGTGCTTTTTATATAGCCTGTTGTAAAACTAGGCAAATATCTAGATGAGTTGATGTACCTGTTGAAGACCTCTGTGCACACTCAGCGGTATGGGAACCTTTGGTTGAGAACCACTTGGTCTACTCTTCAAAGGCTCTGCAGATACAACTGTACAGTTACCTGTATAGCTATACCAGCAGAGCCCCTCTAGTGGAGATGCAAAAGGATGTAGTTAAACCATCTCCCTGAACAACATAAGCTATACCAGCAAACGGACTCTTTAGCTGTGTCTACATGGGGGGGTGGTTGCTGAAATACTTATGTCAGTCTGGGGTGTGTGTGGTTTTTTCACACCCCTGACCAACACAGCTGTGCCAATAAGCCTTTGCAGTGTAGACCTGGCCTCAGTCCAGTTCTTAGCAGATGGGGGTCCATATTACAAAAATCCCCTGCTCTGTTGTCCTGTGTTATACATCACTAAAATGGCACTGTAATAAGCATCAATCATAAACTGTCTGAGCAGAGAGGTCAAGGATCTTTTTTAAAATTCTCCGTTATGTTTTTTTGCCACATCTCAAAAATGGTGCTGCATAGCGACTGCAGATGTTTTGTTCTATTCTCCTCAGTGAGGAGTGGGAGCTGGCTGTTTTCATAAGCCTTTGTGGCTTAAGTTTAAAGTTAGTTTATATGGGGTTTTTCCCACAATCTATGAGAACTCGGGAGAGTTTTTAGACTGTGAACTCTTCAGGGCAGGACCATTGTCTTTGTATGTGTTTGTGAAGCGCTTAGCACAACGGGGCCCCAAATTCTGAATGGAGCCTCCAGGCACTCTGTAATATAAATATTAAACAATACTAACTGCATAATATGAGACAGAATTGTCTGCAGTTACAGGCTGTGTACCTCTTAAAACCACACATGAACCAAGAGGGGAATCAGGTTTAAAGATGTCTACAGCCACACGCTTGGACTCTCCTTAAAAGTCCACTCATGAGTCACCAAGGATGTTTACAGAATTGATAGGTTTCAGAGTGGCAGCCGTGTTAGTCTGTAGTCTGAAGATGTCATCAATGTAGCACAAGTAGAGTAGAGGCATTAGGTGACGAGAGCTGAGGAAGCATTGTTCTAAGTTAGTCAAAAAAAAGTTGGCATACTGTGGGGCCGTGCGGGTACCCATAGCAGTGCCCATAACTATTTTACATTTGAGGACAATGTCTACCTTCAAATCAGCGGCACTGCTATGGGTACCCGCATAGCCCACAGTATGCCAACATTTTTATGGCTGACTTAGAACAAAGCTTCCTCAGCTATCGTCCCCTAATGCCTCTACTCTACTTGCGCTACATTGATGACATCTTCATCGTCTGGACCCATGGAAAAGAAGCTCTTGAGGAATTCCACCATGATTTCAACAATTTCCAGCCCACCATCAACCTCAGCCTGGACCAGTCCACACAAGAGATCCACTTCTTGGACACTACGGTGCTAAGAAGCAATGGTCACATAAACACCACCCTATACCGGAAACCTACTGACCGCTATACTTACCTACATGCCTCCAGCTTTCATCCAGACCACACCACACGATCCATTGTCTACAGCCAAGCTCTACGATACAACCGCATTTGCTCCAAACCCTCAGACAGAGACAAACACCTACAAGATCTCTATCAAGCATTCTTACAACTACAATACCCACCTGCTGAAGGGAAGAAACAGATTGACAGAGCCAGAAGAGTACCCAGAAGTTACCTACTATAGGACAGGCCCAACAAAGAAAATAACAAAATGCCACTAGCCATCACCTTCAGCCCCCAACTAAAACCTCTCCAGCACATCATCAAGGATCTACAACTTATCCTGAAGGACGACCCATCATGCTCACAGATCTTGGGAGACAGGCACAGTCCTTGCTTACAGACAGCCCCCCAACCTGAAGCAAATACTCTCCAGCAACCGCACAACAAAACTACTAACCCAGGAACCTATCCTTGCAACAAAGTCCGTTGCCAACTGTGCCCACATATCTATTCAGGGGACACCATCATAGGGCCTAATCACATCAGCCACACTTTCAGAGGCTCGTTCACCTGCAATGTGATATATGCCATCATGTGCCAGCAATGCCCCTCTGCCATGTACATTGGCCAAACTGGACAGTCTCTATGTAAAAGAATAAATGGACACAAATCAGACGTCAAGAATTATAACATTCAAAAACCAGTTGGAGAACACTTCAATCTCTCTGGTCACTCGATTACAGACCTAAAAGTGGCAATTCTTCAAGAAAAAAACTTCAAAAACAGACTCCAATGATAGACTGCTGAATTGGAATTAATTTGCAAACTGGACTCCATTAAATTAGGCTTGAATAAAGACTGGGAGTGGATGTGTCGTTACACAAAGTAAAACTATTTCTCCATGTTTATTTTCCCCCCATACTGTTCCTCACACGTTCTTGTCAACTGCTAGAAATGGCCCACCTTGATTATCACAACAAAAGGGTTTTTTTTTCTCTCTCTCCTGCTGGTAATAGCTCACCTTACCTGATCACTCTCGTTACTGTGTATGTTAACACCCATTGTTTCATGTTCTCTGTGTATATAAAATCTCCACACTGTATTTTCCACTGAATGCATCCGATGAAGTGAGCTGTAGTTCACGAAAGCTTACGCTCAAATAAATTTGTTAGTCTCTAAGGTGCCACAAGTACTCCTTTTCTTTTTACAGAATTGATAAGTTCCACAAAGATTCCTTTGTTGTTTATATGAACCTCAAAGTCTACTGAAGTCTTTAGAAATGTCCCGGGGACTCCCAATGAGTTTATAATCTCCTCAGGAGACCCACCTTCTCTGCTCTAAATTGTAGCAAAGCCACCTACATCAATGTTATATAAAATCTGTCAAAAATGTCCAATTTCTGTCTAATGTCTTTAAGCACTAAGCTCCATACATGCCTCCTTCACAACCACTCCTCCCATCCTCTTTCCCTAGATAAAACTGAATGGGACTGATTCACCTCTCATGTACTCAGGAGCAAAGTTGGAGTTAAGCCACTGAAGTCAAAGGGCTCAATTCCATGTTGCCCTGTATCTTATGTAGTAATTTACCCCAGTGCAAAGTGGGTGTCAAATGTTACCATACCAGAATGACAGCATTTTACGTGCACGTAGCACTCACCTTATACTGGAATAAATGACTACACATGAGGAAGGGCAACACTGAACTGACTCCATGGGGTTATACTGGAGTACAGTTGGTGTATGGGAGAGGAGAATAAGGCCATATATACCTACTTGGAAACTGAATTGTACCCACTAACTATGGGCTGAAGACATGACCCTGCCCTACCCTCATGGTATGGGTCAGAGAATACAAACTTCTCACTAGAGCTACTAAAAAAAAAAAAAAAGACACTTTTTTAATGAAAAATGCCTTTTTGACCAAAATAAAAATTTAATGAAAAAAATAATTTTGATTTTTTTCATTTTTCAATGAAAATATTTGAAATGAAAAATTCCACCTGCTGTCTCTTTCCCCCCAAAAAAACACACACACACACACAAAAACACTTGTGTTTTGATTCTCGAGAGAAATAAATACTTTCTCACACTTTCACTTCCTCCTCCCCCTTTTTCCGGGGGGAAGGGGAGTAAAAATGTGTGAGAAAATGGTTTATTATGCACTGAAACAAAACACACTTTTTTTGGCGGGGGGAAATGGGAATTTTTTATTTTAATTTTTTTATTGAAAAATAATTTTTTGACCAACTGAATTTTTTGAATGAAGTGAAACATTTTCACTGTTCAATTTTTCCATGAAATCTACTAACCTTGTTTCGACCAGCTCAGCTTCTCCTATATAACCCTTCACACATGGTACAGACCTTATTCATCGTTCTGTTGTTGGGAGAAAACCTCACTCAACCCTATTTACCTTCCCAGTATTGGTCAGGGACTTCAAACTTTAGCTACAGCCCAGAGATCAACTTTTTGGTCATGATCCTAAACATATGAGTGTTGGACTGTCTGTTATGAAAGAGATATGTAATAGCTCACTTGTTATGGGTTGTTGAAGTAGTCCTCCAGGGAGAAACCACAGGCAGTATGGATTCAATTCAGGTCACTACCTCATGAGTTGTCAGCGGGGACACATGGGACATATGGGTTAATGACCCATTATCTCTGGAGGCTGGCCCCAGAGGAGGGAGTGTGGAGCTAGCCGGATTTTCCAGGTTCCAAACACAGGAGCTATGGGCTGCCACAAGCAGTTGAAGTCAGCAAGCAGGCGTCTCTGTGTCCCTGGAGAGAAACAAAGGCAAAAATGGCAGCTCCTTGTTGGAACTGGGTTTGGAGTGATTTCAAAAGGCACAGAATCTGCCCCCCAAAACCAAACTCAGTTGTCAGGACAGACTCAATTTCTTTCATGTGCAGTAAATAGGGTCTTCCCTCTAGGCAGAAGAGAATAATAGAGGGTAAGGCTACAGAGTGAGCATTGGTGGTGGAACTTGAGCAAATATTTCCAGACTTTCTGGCGCTTTAGTTTTATAAATGGCCTTCTAAACTCCTGACATTGAAACTTTTAACTCTTCAAGCTTAACTGCACATTTCTTGACTTTCAAACTTTTTTTTTTGAATGACATTTTAATATTGTTGTAAATTAATGGTCTATTTGCAACCTTAGTGTTATTTTAGAAAAGTTTGTTGCTTGGGCTTAGTAAATTAGATGTGTCCAATTTATATGCAAATCAGTGCATATCACTAGCTCACATTCACAATGTAAAGTAGGTAAATTTCATTTTTCATGCTTGGTACATCACTAAAATCCCGAACACTATGCTCTGCCATCCATGCATCAAATTGCATGAATTTGCAGCACAAACTATTTGCTCTTGCTGGAATTTGACCTCACATAGCACCCCTGCCTAACTCTGAAGTTGGAGAAAGAGACTTTTTTGCATTTATTTAAACTTTGGGATGCTGCGGGACAAATTGACAAGTATTGTAAACCACGGGATTGCTCAGGGCATGGGAGCCAGATGTCCGGAACACAGAAATGAGAAGTCCAGATTCTCCGACACCTCTATCTGTCTGCCTTCTGCTTGCACTCTTGCTTTCAGCTCTAATCTGTTCCAGAAGCTGGTTTTTAGAAAGTACTTCTTGCGGGATAGCATTTGACCTCCTCTATCACAAGTTTCCTTAACGGGTATAAGACTGACGCTGTCGGATTCTCGTCAACAAAGCCCTACATTTCTATGATTCTAAAAGGCTTACATAGTCACAAAACTGTCACAGGTTTTTAACATTACCTACATGGGAGTCCTCCTGATTTCAACACTACTCCTGTGACTAAGTTAAACATATGTGTAAATGTTTACAGGATTGGGCCTCACAAACTCACTAGCGTCTGCAGCCCCACAAAAACCTCATCTGCAGCAGTAAAATGCTGCCACCACTCAACAACACTACCAAGTCTTGTACGCTGTAGTGATTTACTAAAAGATCCAGCTGCTGAAATGATTTGATTATGTGAGAATCTGGGTTTGTTTGTTTTTAAAGTAAATTTCTAGCCTCACGGTTGTGAAAAAAACCTGGAAAATATGAACCCTAAGGCTCAAAAACCAGAAGGCAAATACAAAGAACCCCACATTTCCCATTATTTAAAGCACAGTCTCATGATTTTTGAACATTTGGGTCTGGTGCTGCTGACTGATGGGAAAAAAAAACTGCTGCGGTCAGTTAGCATGATCCTGGTGGCCTCTCAGTGTGGCTGACATTTGATCCCTGTCTCTCTGTATAGGGCAGAGATCAGCAGTTCTGCCTTTGCACCTTGTACAGCAGCGAGCCCAGTCTCACCCAGGCAAGTCCCACCTTAAATGTAACTGGTGGTTCTTGTCCCCCTCACCCCCCATCGTTTTATTTTATAATAGAGCTTTAACTTTAAAATAACAATGAAAGAGAAACAGAACAATAGCAACTACGAGGAGCGATGGGAACATGACCCGAGGGCTCCGTGGGCCAGGCAGGGGTCTCTGCCCCGCCCCGCCCCGCGCCTCCTGTGTGCAGCGTGAGCCCTGTGTGGCCACGCGGCTAGAGAACTACACTTCCCAGCAAGCCGCGGGCCGCCGCGCATGCGCACCGTGAGCTTTCAGCATGGCCACGGTGCTGTCCCGCGCGCTGAAGCTGCCAGGTAGGGAGCGGGCTCCGCAGGGACAGGCCGAGGGGGGAGGGCGGGGACAGCTCGGCGGGACCCTGCGCGCAGGGGGGCCGGGACCGACTCGCGCGTCCCTCGGGGGCCAAAAACATCCGGGTCTGTCTGCGGGGAGGGAGAAACCCCCCCCAGGGACATCCTGGTTCGGGCAGCTTGGGTGGGGGTCAGTGTCCGTGCCCTGAGGTGGGGAGAAAGGAGGGGGGGGTCACTGCCCCTGAGGGTGGGGGGAGAAAGGAGAGGGGCGGTCACTGCTCCGGGGGGGGGGGAAGAAGGGGAGAGAGGGGGGTCACTGCTCCGGGGGGGGGGAAGAAGGGGAGAGAGGGGGGTCACTGCTCCTGGGGGGGGAGCGAGAGGGGGGTCACTGCTCCTGGAGTGGGGGGGAGAAGGGGAGAGAGAGGGGGGTCACTGCTCCTGGGGGGAGGGGGGGAGTGGGGATCACTGATCATAAGGTGTGGGGAGTAGGACCTGAGTTGGAAACAGATGGCAGAGGTGGTCCATTTGCTCATCGGATACCCCTGACACTGTTTCTGTTAAATATCTTAGTCTCTCTGCACCCTGTCATGCACTCTTATAGTGCTATATTCTGAGATTAAGTAACAATACATTTTTGCATACTCTTTGCAATACTTTGCTTTCCATTTCCTACAGCTCATATTATTGTGGAACATACTTGATTTTGAACAGATTTAGAACAATGTTTAAATTGCTGCCTTTTAAATACCTTTTGCGGTAAACTGATGCAGTGTGTAAAAAAATAAATAAATGAAGGAGAATGAACACCTAAAAAATATAAAGAAATGTTTGTCTTTGTCTCTGTCTCGTCTGCTAGTATGTGTCATTCCTATAAATAACCTACTCTTGGAAACCAGGCTCCAAATTAAAGTTCTGTCTCCGCATTTATCTGGGTAAATATGAAAACCCTGCCAAATTTGTCTGTATAATTTCCAGTAATCTCTATGTTATCATTTGTATTAAAAATGGGAGAAAAGAAATATATCTACACCCTGGTAATAGGATATTCAAGAAAAGGGACTGTTAGTTTAGAGAAGCATGTATTTTCGGAGGCATAGATACAGCCAACTGTACATTTCTGTGAGAACATTAAAAGGGACTTATGCTGAAAACACATCTTTAATATCTGTATTTTACTGTAGAACAGGCTGCCAACGTTTTGCTACAGAACGGGTGGAGCCAATACAGGTGCCAATTTAAACCAATGGGAAAGTGCCCCATCAACCTTCATGTCTATTGCTTGCACTCAGGAAAACGAACAGAACTAGTACACCTGCTGCTGGGGCTGGGGCTCCTCCCTCCTGCTGGGTCTCACCAGCTTCTTAGTGCTCCCATGGCTTTGAAGTGAAATTCAGTAGGCAGTTGACATGGCCTTCCTCTTCAGCAGCACATATACTAAAATTGGAATGATACAGAGAAGATTAGCATGGCCTCTGCACAAGGATGACACGCAAATTCGTGAAGCGTTTCCACTGGCCCATGAGAACCGACTGTGATGGCACCTATAAGGCCCCATCTCGAGCATTAATCAATCCAGGGCAAGGTCTTCTACCAAACTGAAGCTTGGCTATAGTGCTTTTTTTCATTTACAGAACAATTTGTTTGTTTGATTAAAGAGGATGGAACAGTTGTTCAAAGCTGTTTACTTGGAAAAAATAAAAGTATAAAATGGGAGAGTTATAAATATGTGAGAAAAAGGAGCATTTTGCAACTGCAAAGACAAACTTCTCCCTAAATTTCTTGACTTAACTAATAATGTGTATCCACCTGCAGCTGGACGGCATTAATTTGGGTACACAAAGTAAGCTATTTTTAGTTGAACGAAGGCCTTTCAAGTGCACTTACAAAAATAATCCTTCTATCTGTGCTCAAATTAATTTGTACAGCTAAGACACTACTTGTGTGACTAAAACATAGTCAAAATGTAGCTTTCAACAACCACGAAAAGTCTGAACTGTTTTTCCTATAGCTGCTTTTTCTTTCACTTTTCATTAATTTTGCAAATATGTGCTATCTTATCTCCCTAAGGGTTTAGATAGATATATGTGGAGTGCCCGGAGAGGCATCAGCCAACTCCTAACAGCAAAAAATAGAAAACAAAGTATGGCACCAAAGAGGGTTCAAAGACTATTGGAAGCAGATTCCTGCTTTTTAATCATCAAGAAAAACAGGCATTGAAAATTACACTGGTCTAAAGTTCAGGATTTGCTCTCTTCACTCTAAAACTAGTGCTAAAAAAGAGCACAGCTATTGGCCAAGAGACTGGTGATAGCTTGGTATCTCTCAAACCGGCAAACCTTTAAACTTTTCATAATGTTGACGTAGTTTTAATACAGGCCTTACTGGATGCCTCGCCTCCTATTTATAATTGCATGAATGGAGCACCTTTTCTCTCATGTGAGATCACATAGCACCCCTATGACAACCACAGCAGTAGCTTACATAGAAAAGTAATATTAGGAAAGGAGGAGATTTTTAAAGGCACAAAGGGCTGTTAGGTGCCCAGCTCCCATTGAAAGTCAGCAAGAGTTGAGCTCCTAACTCTACCTTCTGCCTTTAAAAATATCAAATACTAAGGGGGAGATTTTCAGTGTCTGGAAACAAAAAGCCTAGTAGCATGTGTTAAGTATCTTGGCCAAAGACGACCTGCAATTGGTCTATGGACCACAGTTTGGGAACCTATGCTTTATATCATTGGAAAGCTGAAAACCATTTTTGTATCTGATACCACACAAGGTATTGGATTTTCTGATCACTGATAAATCAGAACCAGACAGTGCTGGATATTCTTTTGAAGACCAGTCAACTTCTCCAAGTGCTGGTCCAGGACCCAGTAATCAGAAAGCAAATAGTTTGATCTCTGGAGAGCTGCTCAGTAAATCGTAATTCCTTAAATGGGTGAATGCTTTGACTTATACAAATCTTAGTGCTACTTATGTCTCTCTGCTTACAATTCAATTGGGGGCTTAAATAGATGGTTTGAAAGCATGGCTTACCCACTTATTTTCATGCTTGTTTGGTCAACTAGTGGGCTTTGCATCTTTAAGTATGGTGAGTTGAAAATGTAGCTGCACAAATGATCTTGCCTGAATGTAAAACTCGGGCACATCTCTATGAAAATTTGGTCCAGCCCTTGGAGCGGCACTGACATGTCTGCTGCAAGAAGAGCAAAACTACTGACAGATTGTGACAATAAAATTAGAATTAGGGCTTTGACTTTGTAGAGAATCACATTTCATCGGTAATGGAAAATAGAGCCTTTCACCTTTAGGTTGTCAATTTCAGACTGGACTGTGGTCAAGGGAGATAGTAGATGGCTCAAAGGATTAAGAATATAATATGGAACGTCTAACCTATAAGTCACTGGTTCATTTTTTACCTAGGTCATTAACAGCTAAAATCCATTATTGCATCCATTAGCTTGTGTCAAATGAGTTGGGACGTCAGACCAGTTCATAGCAGGAAAGGTGTCCTCGTCACAGAACCTGCACCACAGTTGGCATCTCTGTGGGTGCTCCCAACAAGGAGCTCATGGACTGATTTAGTTATGGAATCTGAGCTCTTCTCTCTTCCCTGGAGGTGACCCTTCCAGGACAGGGGTGATTGAATGGAGGAAGCTTACACTGCCAATGTTGTAACTGCTCGATAGATTTCGGTCTCCAGAGTGGACAATATGAAACCTTTTATCAGCCCTGAATTCTCTAAATTAAAGTGCTACTGGGTGAAGCATAGCATGCAGGCACAACAGGAGAGAGAGATTTATATTTGTGGAAGTATATGTTCCTGTTTTGCATTGTGGTCTCTCTGGGCAGACTGCTTTCCATGCACCGAGCTCCATGGCAGTCCGTGAGGCTCCATGCTGATGCCAGTGCGGCACGGGGAAGTAAGAGTCAGTCTGTACACAGGTTTGTACCCAAATATCCACAGGTGTGAATGAAAACTGGTTTAGTTTAGTGCAAGTCTGTGTGTGGACCTGCATAGATCAGAATAGAAGTGGCTTTAAAAGTCAGTTTAGATAACTGACCTTAGCTAAATGTGACACTTATCTCTTTTGGTAAGAATACGTCACCTAATGCAATGGCAAAAAAACTAAATTAAGGTAGAGCAGTGTTGCTTCGTGGCATGTTATCCTGTTGCAGAACATTGAGTTGAGCAAAACTCAAAACATCTGAAAATCAGGAATGCACAGTTAAGGTTGCAACTCTTTCTGCAGTGCCCCACTGTGCCCCATTAATATACATACCTTTACTCTGCCAATCCCACAGTTGCTGAAATGTAAAAGTAGGTGAAACGCTTGTACAACCCATTCACTCTAACCCACAGGATTCCAACTAACACTTGCTGGGAGTGGGGAACGGTTGTCCATGCCACCTTAGAATCATAGAATCATAGAATCATAGAATATAAGGGTTGGAAGGGACCCCAGAAGGTCATCTAGTCCAACCCCCTGCTCAAAGCAGGACCAATTCCCAGTTAAATCATCCCAGCCAGGGCTTTGTCAAGCCTGACCTTAAAAACCTCTAAGGAAGGAGGGAGGAGATTCTTTGAGGTTCCTGTAGCCTCTTTCTGTAGCCTCTTTCAGCAACATCTAAATAAGCACATACACTGACCCTTGGTATTATGAGATTCAGGAGGTTGCAGTTCCTGACACACTCACACCCTTAGCCAACTTCCCAGAAAGACTACTCACAGGATACCATCTCAACACTTTCACTTAACCATCATTAAAGCATTAGAATCCTCTCATATTCCATTTCACTCCTGATATCCTTTGTAATAAAAGCTCTGTGCCCTGCTACTGACAAAACCTTCTTCACTTCTGCATAGAAATGGTGCATACTTCATCCTGAAGGTACACATGCACCTCTTCCCTTTCCTCACACACATGAGAGGGTGCAAAACATGGAACTTCTCATATCACAGTCACTGCTGTGTCACACTCCTCAAAGTAATCCACAGATCTCACAAACACACCTTTACCAAGCAGAGCTAACTACTGCCTCCACCATTCAGTACAGCTACACCTGACACACACGTTACCTGGAATGCATGCAGATAATACATGCTTAGACTGTAGTCATATTCCAACTTGCTATTGATAATACCCTTTGTAATAAGAGCCCTGTGCCCTGCTAATGATAGAATGTACACAATTCTGCATTGAAATGGTGCATACTGGATCCTGAAGTTACACATGTGGCTCTTCCCTTTGCTCTCACTCATACTGGAAGATGCAAAACATAGATTTCGTTATATTATAACTACAAGTCTGCTACACACCTCAAAGTAATCCACGTCCTCCTATCACAAATACACTTTTACCAAGCAGCCCCAACTACTGTCTCCACCATTTAGAGAAGGTATATGTAACACACTGACTGCACTTTCAATGTATGCAAATAATTCCCATTGGCTACTGTCAGCTCCAAGGGAACAGAAGGAAGATTACACGGGCAATCTTTTTTGTCCTTTAATAGTGTAAGATGGAATCCTGTGGGTGAACATGAATGGGTTGTCAAAGGAGATGAAGAGCTTGTATATTTCAGCAACTATGGGGGTTGGCAGAGTAAAGTTATGTGTATTAACGGTATATTGGGACATTGTTGAAAAAGGGCAGAGTTAAGGTTGCTTAGGCAACCTTAACACTGTATTTCCTGGGTTTCAGAAGTTTTGAGTTTTGCTCAACTCAGCGTTCTGCAAGGGGACAACATCCTACCAAGCAACCTTAACTCTCCCTTAAAGTACATTTTTCCCTTTGAATTTTCTAGTTTTTTTAACAGGAAAAGGTATGCTGGTGATAGGAGTTAGGAGTCATTTAGGCAGTTGTCCATATCATGTCCTGCAATTTGCATACTGAGTCAGCTTGCCTCCACGCACACCCATCAGCTGGACCCCACCAGTCCAGACCTCGCCAACCATGCCCCTGACCCGTTCACTGCATTCCCCATTCCAACCTGACTCTCCATCCACTACTGTACCCAGGACCTCCCACCACAAGCAAGGAACACATCTTCCTGAAGTCTTAGCTCCCTGGTACAGGAACACTTCTATTGCTTTACTTCCTCTCCTCCTATAACTCAACTCACATACAGTGCCTGGAGCGAAGGACAACTATGTTACAGTGGAATGGTATTCCTGTTCATGTTTCAGAGTGGTTGGAGGGTGGAGTTTGTGGCAGGACTGGAGAGAGAAATCACAGACAGTGTTTCTGTTCCAAGGTACTGACAGTTTTATGTTTGAGGGAAAGATCCTCTGACCCCTGTCCAATAAATGTATCCCATTGCCAAGAAACTGTGAGAAGTCAGAGTTTGCAATGTTTCTGTGTCATACAATACCCTTGTCCCAGGCATCTATGAACCCTTCAGTTTCCCAGTTAATGTTATTCCAGCACTTATTCATATCTTTCATATTATATATAGCAATTATTCAGGCGCTCAGCCAAATCAGAGAAAACTATCAAAGATCCTGGATATAGATCTCTGATGCAGTTTAAATCTGCTCTCATACCCAGATTCTGCCTGAGTGAATCTCCACAAAGTCCAGTAGATCATCTCTTAAATCGCCTGTTAGACACTGCAGCGATTCTTAAGTAACCGGTTGTTAGACACTGCAGAGAGGGCAAAATAAGGTGCCCAGTGCAGGCCACCTCTCTCCATCCAACTCAGTCTGTACTCAGCAGTCCCCATGTCATTGTGTACTCCTTGCTCTCCCACAAACTAATGCAGTCTCATAATCCAGGAATCACCCAGAATCCACACCTATTTCTTTTCCCTCAGCAGTCAAGGCATAGGTGCCAACTCCGGGGGTGCTCCAGGGCTGGAACACCCATGGAAAAAAGTTAGTGGATGTTTAGCATCCACCAGCAGCCAGCTCCCCCCCTCCCGCCCAGCGCCTCCCGCTCGTCACAATCAGCTGCTCTGCAGCATGCAGGAGGTGCTGGGGGTAGGAAGAGGAGCGGGGACGGGACCTGCTCAGGGGAGAGGGCGGAAAGAGGCAGAGCAGGGGCAGGAAGAGGCAGGACGGGGGTGGAGTGGGGGCAGGGCCTGGGGCAGAGTGGGAGTTGAGCACCCCTATAGAAAGGAGGAAGCCGGTGCCTGAGAGTCAAGGTACCTGTGCTGTCAGTTCTGAACCTTTGTGCCTTTGGAAGCACCACATTAATCTGCCCTGAGATCAGGAAGTAGCCACTTGCTCCCCTCCCCAGTGTCTAGTAAAATACAGATTTTTCTCAAACCACCAATCCGAGGTTTGCTTATGTCACCTTCTCCAAAGCCACAACCTTAACAGTGCATTTCCTGGGTTTCAGAAGTTTTCAGTTTTGTTCAACTCAGTGTTCTGCAAGAGGACAACATCCCACCAAGCAACCTTAACTCTGCCTCAGGACAGATTTTTGTCATTGAATTTCCTAGTTTTTGAACAGGAAAAGATATGCTGGAGATAGGAGTTAGGAGTCATTTAGGCAGTTGTCCATATCATGTCCTGCAATTTGCATACTGACCGCAGAGAGGCAAGACCTCCCATATCCCAGTTTATATGGGGGGCTCAGACTGCCTTAGTGGTGCAAGAGTCCATCCCCTGCCACCCCAATCTGGGCGCACACATGGGAGGGGAGAATGTGGGGCTGACAGGTGCCCTATTTCACCCCACTCCTCTACCCCTCCCCCAAACATCCGCCTTCCCAATATCCCACCCCTCCACTCCCCCAACCTCCATTTCTCCCTCGCTTGAGCCCCCAACCTCTCTCCACTCTCCCTTACCACCTGTCCTCATTTGGCTCCCTTCCTATAACCCCCCCTTTCTTCACTGCAGCCCCAAATCCCTTTCTCCCACTTCCTCTCCCCTCCCTGGAAGCATTCATATGTCTATTTTTCCCCTCAAAAACCTTGATTACATTTCCTCCAGAATAAAATTGCCATCCATGACTCACAAATTGCAGCAATCTCTGGTCACTCAGTCCAAAACTCCTTTGGTTTTAGGTGGGGGCTTGTGATTAATTTATCCTTCAGTATGTTAATTGAAGGATGAGTTCACAGCCGTGAGTCTCAATGAGGTCTGTGATTCATCCAGTCATTAATACCTCTCAGTTTAACAGTACAAGGCAGCAGAAGGAAACTGGGTTTCCAGAGGAGCCTGTAAGGCAGGAATCCCTTTGTCAAATGATCCAAAATTTGGGTCACTAACCCTACTCTGCACTGTCCTGAGGCACACAAAATTTCAAAGGAATCTGATTAAACATGTAGATTTTAGAGACTTAGAAAGATCAACCTTTAAACAGAAGTTGTGACACAGCTTTAACTATCACGGCGCTTCTATGTCACTATAATGTTGCCTTAGCTGCTTCTATTTAGAGTGAGGCAGTTAAGGATTTACTGTGACTTAACAGTGTTATTTGATTGGCTTTTGCATTAAAAAAAATCCTATAGTTTACATTAAAGTTACAATTTCAGACATAAGAAAGGAAAAAGTGAAGGTTCTTTTATGGTAGACTGGGTGCACTTCCAACATTTCTACTGGTTGGAGAGATATTACTGGTTTGGCTGCTAAAACTGATAGAATCTTTCCAAACTGAAGAATTTAAGGATGGCTGTTGCAATGTCAACTCTGCTGTGTAGCACAGACTGCATATTTTATACATTTAACAACATGACAGTTACGTACTAAGCTGTGCATTTAAAGAGAAAAACAGAAATAGGAAAAATTACTTCTGAGCAGTATGGTTGAATTAACTTTACCATGGGAACCTAAAACTTTCCGATTTCTCTTCTTTGGATCATTCCCATTCATCATAGTATCGGAGGGTGAATACAATACACGTTTTTGCAATTACCATGTATATATTATTTATGTCTTGCAAAGTGTTCCTTTAAACACCTGGAGGCACAGTTTAGCATCTGGCATCACAGCTCGTTCCTGTGGAAGCAGCTATGATGTCACAGAAATTTAGATTGTGACATCACTGAGTGGATCAAGGAGGAGGAACAGATGAAAAATGAGATATAGAGAGAGGACCCTGCCATGGATACACTATAAAGGCTACCAAGTGAGGAAGGGCTCTTTCATGATTAGAGCTTTGAATTAGGAGATTGCTGAGGAGAGTCTGGGACTTAGGTATGCAGAGGGTTAAGCATGAAGATATGTAGGGTTGGCAGAATTCAATTTTTTTTAAAAAATTTTTTGACAGATATTATCAATGTTTATTTTTAAGCATTTTTTTAGTCTTATCAATTTACATTTTCACAGGTGTGGAAAATTATGGGGGGGGAATCCGACATTAGTGGGGGTCCACCAATAATTGTTTAATGACACTAGATGTTAAGATTGAAAAAGTTAAAGTTTTATAACCACTCAAACACAAATTGTCAACGTCACATGTCAAAATACACAAGATAAATATCTTTAAATCCAAACTCTAATAAGCTCACAAGTAGCATTTTTCTTACTGTGCCTCTCTGTAAATTTCAGCTGTTATCGATGGAAATATTTTTTCATGGGTTTGTTTGTGTACGATGAAATCAGCGCTTATCAACATATACAAATGAGATTCTAATCTTTCCAAGCCTAAAGATATAGTATGATAGCTCCATGGAACTGTTTCTCATTACAGACCCCCAAAATTAGAGGAAATTAAGCAAATCCTGAATTGTTTTTTGCCTTGGGGAACTAAACTGTTCGTTTTCTTGTAGCCCCCACTCTGAGACCTGGTGGATGTGCATGGACCCCACCTTCTCCCTTACACCTCATCCCCTCCAACCATGCCCATCGTCTGAGTAGACACAAAATACAGACATCCTGTCTTCTCTCTTGCACTCTCCTCCCTTTGGGACCCAAAAGTGCAGAGAGCTTGTTCTTTCTTTCCTTTCCACCAGCCATGCTTGATTCTCTCTCCCTGCTTCTCTCCTCAGGAAAAAAGAGCCCGGACCTAGGGGAGTATGACCCCCTCACTCAGGCTGACAGTGATGAGAGTGAAGATGACCTTGTGCTCAACTTGCAGAAGAATGGGGGAGTCAAGAACGGGAAGAGCACCCTGGAGGAGGTGCTGGACCCAGACTCAGAAGTGGAGGTCGAGGTGACAAAGCAGCGGCTGTCAGAGAGTGTCCCAGATGGGTACCCTGCAGAGGCCACTGGCAGCCTGGAGCAGAAGGCAACCTCCTCCCTGATGCCTTACCTGCGCACAGCAGTCTTCTTGCTTACCATGGTTATCTCCATGATCCTGGTGCTGGTGTGCGCCTTTCTCATTCCTTGTCCTCCTAGAGACTTGCATAACACCTGGAACCGCAACCTTGGCCAGGAAGCAGGTGAGAGACCATCAGGAACAGCAGCTGTGTGAGATTGGGCAAGGGGTAGCTCACAGGGTGGATGTGGGGGAAAGACCCACCTGGGAGAGTTTGTTTAGAGCAGAGGAGCAGCAACTTAATCCTCTTCACCACTGCATATGCTCTGAGGCCATAAACAGGCATATGGCTGATGCACCTAGCCTTCCTCTGATCCCTATTAAATATGGTACATGTCTCGGGCCAGTCCGAGATAAATCTGTTGTCCAATAAGGTCTTACTTTCTCCAGTGCCAAAAAAATAGCAGGGTTCTTCTGACTCTCCTCCCATGTCACCCCTCTGCCTGGATGGCGTTACCCATTTTGGAATTTGCCCCAGATATAGATGGGCTAGTCCACTTTGGTCCCCATCACTTCCTTATCCAGAGATTACACCCCACAAGCTCCTCCATTCACGCGGGGTGTGGGGAGGCAGAGACAACCCGAGCCTGCCAATAGTGGGGGGGCAGAATGAGGTCAGCTGGCTTCAGTAGTGTTAATGAGCATGCTCAGTACAAGCCAAGCAGCAAATCTGAGTGGGGGGATATGACGTGTTGCCTGGGGTGGGGAGGAATGGATTTTCCTTTGTGTCTGCAAATTGGCTTAACTAATGTTATTTCCTCTGCATATTTCTCTCCCTGTTAAATCTATAAATCAATAATTTAAATGTTCTGAGGTCTTTGTCCCTCCTCAAACAGTCACAGAATAGCTAGCTAATCTGTGGTATTTTCTAAAGTGCTTCCCTTCTTATATCTCCATTGAGACAGAATGATCAGTGACGTGATTCTGTTAGGCCCTGATGTGATACTATTCCTTTTCCTTCTTTCCTCCTCCCATTTGTGGGCTCTGAGAAGCCAGTCAGATGTGGTGCCAGATCACTGCAGTGGATGCAGATAATTCATCTCTGCTGGCTCCTGTAGGCCCCTGCTGGATTTCTGGCTGAGCCTGGTGCTGGAGCTGTGCTGTGTGGGGAGGGACATAACAGCTGGGGGAACAGTGCTGCTTCGGTGATCTCCTGTGGATTCCATGATGGCTGGTTATTCAGACCCCTTTTCATTCAGGCTTGTCCTCATCCCCATTATACAGAGTGGGTTTGACAGCTATTCTGATAGCAGCTCCTGATTTGCTTTGACTGTCACAGGTGGAGTGCTGTTCCCACTGGAGCTCTCCGATGTGAATGGTGATGGGCTCCCGGACATCCTGCTCTCCTTCACAGCCCTGATGAATGCTAGCGTATTGGGTAAGGTGTTATCTGCCGACTTTGCTTCACCAGTGATGCCAGCCTTGATGGCTCTTTTGTTGGGTTGTCTAGTGTTTTTTTTCTTATTTTTCTCCCTGTGAGCCTTCATGGGAGGAGTTCCCCTAACCATCTGCGGAGTTGCCACATTGTCCTCCTTCAGACCTCTCCTTAAAACAGCTCACTTCTGCTGTGAAAGTCCCAGCTGATATATTGATTGACAGTAGTAATGTTACTGCGCCTGGCTGTTTAATGTTAAACAGCCCACTCCCCCTCAGCAGGCTGCTTTTAATTTCTCTGCTAACATTTGCATAAGAACACATGGGATAACCCATCAGAAGTCTAGAAATAACTTAGCTTGTCACTGAGTGCTGCTGGTTTCCCACTGCTCCAAGCTTCCCGTTTCTGGAGCTTCCCAGCTGCCATTGTACTGCATCTCCACAGACTGTCTTCACCTCGTAGTGACATGAAATCTGTTCCAGTCTCAGAGAAACAGTCAAGAAGCAAGGCTCCATTATGCTGGAGTGTATTGACAATATCTGGTGCCTAATTGCAATGATTGGTGTAATACAAATACAGATAGAAAGGAAATTTTCCCTCCCCCATGGCAGAGTGCTACATAAGTAAGGCCCCATGTACTCCATTACAAGTGAGATGTAAATTCCACAGCAGGGTCCCTGGAGTCCAAGGAATTCTGGTGCAGCAGATAGAAAATCTGATGGCAGGTTCATTTCAATTAAAAAATTGTGATTGTACTGAATTAAATATGAAAATGAATCATTCAACCTGTGTGGTATTCCCCATGTTCTTTATTTTACACTGTTCTCACATTTTCAGTTTTCAACATGAAGCAGATTTTTGTACTGGCCTCACATTAACTGCACTGTAGATGCTGTTAGGGAGAAGTTGGAAGTTTTGCCATCTGGATAAGACCTATGTGGGGCTCTTAGATGTGGAGACTAATAAGCACATTAGCTGGATGTTTCTGCTAAAATGATCAACAGTATGTGTGATGTTAGGCTGACATTAAACTTATCATCATTAGGTATTAAAGTCAACATTTGATTAAAACATATTGGGGTACTTCATACTCCATTTAGCTATTATTTTGTGCTGTCTGCAGACTCAGGCAGACAACACTGTTTGACACTGATTGCATGCTTTCAAGGTGTTTTTCACAACAATGAAGGCTAGAAACATGGGGGGGGGGGTATCGAAAAATAAAAAACCTAGATTGTGGAGCAAAATTCTGCTGCCACAGAATCACAGAACATACAGGACCCTGTGCATAACTAGCCAGGTTCCTAATAGAAGGGTAGTTGCAACTTCCAAGCATTAACCATTGGCCAGCAGAAGAATAAGCATTAAAAAGAACAATAGACTAGTCTGGTGTGACAGCAGTTAGGGTGATGAATTGAATGGACCAATAGTTGCTCGGGTAGGGCAAATATTATGTTCCTTTGCCAACCAAGAACAGAAATGTAACTTCAGGTGTTTCTATGGACAGTTACTGCCAGTCCTATTCCTGTGAGCTAACAAGGGACTGAAATAACCAAACTCATGGGATTCTTGTGAATGTTACCACTTTAATCTTATGGCACCTTAGAGACTAACAAATTTATTTGAGCATAAGCTTTCGTGGGCTACAGCCCACTTCATCGGATGCATAGAATGGAACATCTAATAAGAAGATAGATATATATACATACAGAGAACATGAAAAAGTGGAGTAAAAGGCTAATTAATTAAGACGAGCTATCGTCAGCAGGAGAAAAAAAAACGTGTGTAGTGATAATCAAGATGGCCCATTTAGACAGTTGACAAGAAGGTGTGAGGATACTTAACTTTAGGGAAATAGATTCAATATCATCTTAATTAATTAGCCTCTTACTCCACTTTTTCATGTTCTCTGTATGTGTATATAGATATCTTCTTACTAGATGTTCCATTCTATGCATCCTATGAAGTGGGCTGTAGCCCACAAAAGCTTATGCTCAAATAAATTTGTTAGTCTCTAAGGTGCCACAAGTCCTCCTGTTCTTTTTGCGGATACAGAATAATACGGCTGCTACTCTGAAACCACTTTAAGCTTGTCCACTTGGGGACAGCACAGAGTAGCAGCACAACTGAACGGCGTGTCCCCCTGAGATCACTCTGCCTTTTTCCTCTCTTTCCTTTGATTGCAAAGGACCTCACTGCCCCTCTTGTGTGTCTGCAGGTGTTTCTAGGCCATCGGTAACTGTCATGGCCCTTTCTGGTATGAACGGCAGCACCCTGTGGTCCAGCCACATTCCAGAAGAGACTCGGAGTGTGCAGTGTAAAGGACTGATTCTCACCGCCCCAGCTGAGCCTGTCTGCCTTGTGACTGGAACATCCAAATTCCTCAGCCTTCTCCATGCCTCCTCAGGTAGTTCCAGGCATGAATGTGTGGATGAACTGATCACCTGGAATAATTCAGCACCATGGTAACAACAGAGGAACAAGTCCATAGCTAAAAGAAAACTGCAGAGTAATACAGAAGATGATCTAATCCAGGGGTTCTCAAACTGTGGGTCAGGACCCCAAAGTGGGTCACGACCCCATTTTAATGGAGTTGCCAGGGCTGACTTAGACTTGCTGGGGCCTGGGGCTAAAACCAAAGCCTGAGCCTCACCGCCTAGGACCAAAGTCCAAGCCTTGGGCAGCGGGGCTTAGGTTACAAACCCACTGCCTGGGGCACAATCCTTTGGGCTTTGGCTTTGCCCCCCTCTCCACCGGGGACGGTGCGGCTCTGGCTTTGGTTTTGCCTCCCCAACCTCCCACCTGCAGCAGAGGGGCTTGGATGGGCTAGGGCTTCGGTCCCCTCTCCTGGGGTTGTGTAGTAATTTTTGTTGTCAGAAGGGGGTCACAGTGCAATATAGTTTGAGAACCCCTGATCTACTCATTAACAAATATTGAATTACAGGGAATAATATGTAATGTAATCCTTTGCACTTCATTAATGTAGCCCTATAACATCCCTGTGATATAGATAAAGGATATAGGAGTCATTTCACCTACCATTGAAATGTAGCCACCTCTTGAGTGGAATGCAGCAGCTGTTTCACAACAACACAGATGCACTAAACATCATATCTAGAGAAAGAGGTGAGGAAGTATGCTGTAGCCAGTTACATCTTCAGGAGAATTTAGGTGGATAAAAGTATTTACCAGATCTGAGTGAATATTGCATTTTTAGTCATTTTGATTATGTTGACGCTCTTTTTATGTTTACTCTTAATGGACATCCTTGCAACTGAATTTGCGAGCAGAAATGTTCATGGGAACAGTGAATTTTAGGCAAATGTTGGAGAATATTCTTGGAGCTTGAATGAGTATTTGCAGTGGAACCTTGGGTCTAAGAGTTTTACTCATGCAGTTGGGAACATAGAAATGTTCCATGACTTCTGTGCCCAGTGAAAAATAACCACCACAGCTTGACTTTCAAATGGTTGTTATGAATTAATCCGGTGAGACTGTTTACATGCGTAAGTGTTTGCAGGGTCAGGGTAGTCTCTCTGAACTCAGTACTACTGCTGGTGTGAGTACAGTTACTTGTGTGCCTAAGCATTTGCAGGATCTGGCCCTAACTTTGTTCTGTACTTTGGAGGGGTGAGGGGGCTTTCCCACAGCAGAAGCGGGAGAAAAGAATGTTAAAATGTGATTGTAAAAGGATAGTAATTGGCAGAGGGACTCAGAGGGCAGGGAGAGCATCTAGAATTACTTTGAACTTGTTTTTTAATTTGGTTAAAAAAATTGCGAATCCTCTTTTACTGGGCCCTTACGCGGGTCCCCACTGACAAACCGTGTTTAAAATCACTTCTGCTTGCATGCCTTTATCCCCCTATGTGGAGAAGATAAAGATGCAACAGGGGCTCTTTCCGGTTGGAAATTTAACTGAGACACAGATTTCCATTTCCAAAATCTGTCCCTCCAACTATGCGTTCCCATCTGTTCCGTTCCCTGGGAGTGTCTGCATAGCTGTGACATCAACAATCACACTTTACTACTGGCCAGTTAGGACAGCTGGTGTCCTGCAAAGCCTCTCTCTTATTTAGGATCTGATCCTGGCAGTTGAACCCCAGAAGAGTTGCAGTTTCAGAATCAGACCCTGATAGAGATGTCAGTACGCAAATAAAGCAAAGCATTGGCAGGGTGAGACTCAAGAGCAGTTCACAGCAGTGGGGAGGGAAGAATTCTGCTTTCCACTGTGTGTGAATTCCACAGCCACCAGTTCTAGGTTGGGCTTGTTACTCATGCTGTTGGGCGACAGTGCCTTCTCCCCCTTCCTCCTTCAGGAAGGTTTAGTTGGACTCCCTGGGGATTCTCATGAATTCTGCTTTCTTGAAGTGCTGCAGTGCTCAGATGTTCTCTCCTCCTATAGGGAAAACCATCTGGACATTGAACCCAGCCCACCTGCCAAGTGGGACCCTGGCTGCACCAGCCGTCATGCTGCCAGATTTGGATGGGGATAAGGTTGGAGATCTGGTGGTTCTGGCCATTGGAGAGACCCAGGTATGATACATCCCCACTAGAGCTCTGAATGGGCCTGAATCTTTGGAGGGGGAGCAGGGCCATGGTCTAAAGAGAGTATAGTGGGGGAATGGTACAAATTCCTTCATCCAAGTAGTTTCCTTACCTCACATTCCCCTTAGGTACAAACCTGGCTTCCTTCTCTTGCTCTGGAGAACAGGATCAAGAAGTAATGACATTGTCTCTATCTTTTATCAGCTGACGAATGTCATTGTTGAAGTAATTAATCATTGCCCACCGGCTGAGACGTGAGAATCACTCTCTTTCTCCTGTGCTTCCCCCTTTAGCAGTTACTGCTTTTGTTTTTAAAGTGTTTTTGTAGCACTAGTGAAAGCTGACAATTTAACAGCCCAGTGATGTGCTCTGTTTAGCTACAGAAGAGACGTCCCTGCCTGGCAATCATGGTGCAAACTTCCCCTGTGCTGCTCCGTGCACAATGACTTAGAAGGTACTGCCTTTAAGGTTGATGAGGGAGTTCAGACTCCAACGTCCATTCATTCACTGGCACCTCTGCTACTGACAAGGGTGCCTAGCATGTTGGGGGGGGTTGTGACAAGGACATCGTAACAGAAGGAACTAGACCAAGACTGCTAGCTCACACAGGAAACAAACAGGAAGTGGGAGGGAAGGAAAAAGATTCCAAATGGTTTGTCACTTGATACATGCTGCTGTGTGGGGAGGGAATGGCAGAGCTTTTCATGCTGGGGAAGAGAGGCTGCCTACTGTGTGTGAGTCAACTCCCAGAATTCCCTGCGTCTCTCTCACCTTTGCAGCCAGACCTGTGCTTTATCCTGGTATCGGGTAAGACGGGAAACCCTCTGGGTGGGCCCGTGAAGTACAGCATCAATGGAGAAGGAAAACTGATCGGCCCCCAAGCCCACATTACCAGCCGAGGAGCCATCTATATCCTGTTTGGCTTTGGTAAGATGGGCCACGGGCCCCTGCCACTTCCATTTGATCTCTTTTCTAAGGCACTTTAAAGCTGGGATTGCTGTGAGCTCTGCCAGGATGTTCCTACCATGCCTTCCACTGGTGGAGGCTCAGATTTGGAGAAGATGGGAGCTCCCCACACCAGTGTAGGAAATGGCACAGGAACAGTGATACCTGGTTGCAGCTCCTAGGACTAGAGTGGCTTGGAGCTCCCCAAAGCCACTGATCCTCCTACACCTCTTCCTACATTATGTCCTGCTGGGAGAGGCCGAGACTCTCCTCCTGCTTTTGTTTGATCACTTTCCACCTGCAAGTGGTCCCAGCCTCTTGTGCTCTCAGGACTGTCATCCAACAAGTGAGAATCTCAATCTTTGCTCTCCCTGTAATGTATTTGCTAGGTAATGTCCAAGCAGTCGCCCTGAGGGATCTCTTTGCCCAAGCCAGAAACCGTGACAGCTTCCCTCCTGTGCTGCAGCGGGAGGAGCCAGAGTGGGAGAAGCGCAGATCTGTCAACTTATCGGAGCTCATTGACATTTACAGGTGGGTTGTGGTCTCACCATTCGGGCTAAGCTGTAGTTCTGCCTGGGCACTGTTAGGGGTGCCCCTTCCACTTGAATATCTCTGTTCATCAGAGTCGCCTAGGCAATGCCTGTGATATCAAGAATTCCAATTCCCTCCCTGTTCCAGTGTTTGCAGTGGGCAAATGCCATGTGTTATAAAGAGAACCTCTTGTTCCTCTGAGCCCTTGTTCCCCCCTTACAGCCACACGTGCATTTGAATAAGCCCGCACTGAGGAAAAAAGGTGTGTTTTTAAATAATTAAGAGTCCAAGTTAGCAGCGCTGTCTGTGCACAGCAGAGTGGGCCAGGGTCGTGTAGCTCCTGGGTGTCCCTTATTCTCCACACAGTGATTCAATGCCCAGCAGAGCCTGGGAAATCCTTTAGTGTGACTGGGAACAAGGAGAAAGCAGCAGGCCCCAGTTTGTATGAGGCAGTGAAGTGGGGATTCAGTCACAGGAAAAAACCTGGATTAGACTCTCACATATTCAAAAGTTTAGAGCTTGGCATTGTCTGCTTTTATTTCAATAAGTAAATAAAACCTGTGAAGCGCAATTGCCTAATGTCGGCTTTCTGCCTCTCCCAGCGGGGGCGTTGAGTTCCTGCAGATGGTGACGGCTTCAGATACCAACTGCAGCGACCTCCTCATCACCACAAAACACAGCCTGACTCTGCTGCGAGGAGAGGACCTGGAGCCCCGCTGGAACCTGGAGCTGCAGGACATTCACAGGTTAGTTACACTTTTGTTTTTTCTGTCTCTCCTTTTTCTCTTTCTCTCCTCCAGGCACACACACACCTGTGAGAATCATCTGGAATTATTCCCCAAGCTTGCAGGGATACCAGGGAGCTGGAGTCATGTGCGTGTCGGTATGTTAGTGCTGTGGGGAGGGGAGAATGGGAGAGGGAAGGAACGAATTAAAGGGACGGACTGAATAGCCAACATACTAGATTCAAAGAGTGACATCCATCTTAGTATGCTGAAAGGAAGAAATTCATCCCTGTGCAGGCAGCCAGCATGTGGTCTATGCCGCACTTAAGCCCCTCTAGATGACGGTGCATATGCTCCGTGCTGGCCCTTGCACAAGGGTATATTTCACTCAAAGAGCTTAAGGAAGTTGCAAAATCCCCTGGGACAATAACAACAAGTAATTTCCCCAGCAACCGCAGCATTAACTGGTTGAATATACACCTGAATATACAACTGGTTGAATATTCACCTTATTTCTCAGTTGGCAGAAATAATTTGTTGGCAGCATAAACCAAAAACTTGTTTTGGTACCTACAAAGGTGGATACAACTGTGAACTTAGTGTTAACTAACAGGTAGGAATTTATAGAGGAGGCGAGTGTAGAATCTTCATTAACCAGTAATGATCACTGTACAATTGGGTGTGATGTCCTAATACGCCTACGAGGACACAGTGATTACTTTGAAAAGGGCAGATTGCAAAACTTATGCAGGAAAATGGTGAAGAGGAAGTGAAATATAAAGGTGGAAACATGGTTAGATCATGGAATCATTCTACAGCCTGTACAGGACTATTGTGCCAACGGCCCAGATAGGCTGTTTTTTCTCAGTGGGTAGATACAAAGAGTAAAAAGGGGGATAAAACATTCATAGTAAAGTAGAGAAGGGGATGAGTTTATTAGCGCTAAAAGAATATCATTTAATAAATGAAAACCCTGCTTAAACAACATAGCACGAAGTACAAACTCTGCCAGGAAGTGTCACACATGAAACAACGGGAGGGATGGCGTGTCAAACATACAATGTCTAAACCCAGCGACCATTCCTGAAGGCTGAAGAATTTTGGAAAGGGGAGCAAAGGAAGATTCTGGGGGTAACAGACTGGGAAGCCTCACTTCACTAATGGGGATAGTGAGGGCCATTCTCAAGTCTTGTCGTCATTGGAGATTGGCTCCAGTTACAGCCGCCAGTATAGCCATACCAGCCCAGACACATAGGGGAGACAGGCTAAGCTGCAGTTTCCAAATGTGCAGCTTACACATCCCGGGTTCAGTCAGGGACAAGCTGCACAGTTTATAGTGCTTTTCCCATTCACACCAGGGTTTTTGTACCTGTGCAGCTACATTGGGGGTTGGAATCCGTACAACCCCCCAGCATAGACAAGGCCTAAGGATAGAATAGTAAAACACTTGGATAAGTGTCACTCAGTAGAGTCAAACCCACACAGCTTCTGTTAGGGGAAATCTTGCCCTTTTGGAAAAAGGTAACAAAATACAATCATTGATAAAGGCGTCCTGGTCGATATAATTTTATTGGATTTTCAAACAGCTTTTGATAGGATCCTTTAAGACCAGAAAGAAGAATGAGTAGCCAGAAGCTAAGGGACAAAGTCTGGTGGACTAGCAATTGATTAAGCAATCGAAAATCAGGTTGTAAATGGATGGTTTGCAGAGGAGAGAAGGTTTAATAGCAGGCTATCCCAGTAATTAGTGTGGTGGCAGAATTGGTTTGTTACACCGCTGATTTTGAAGAGGAAGTTGATGTCGATTGATGGACAGCATCTAAAGTATGTTTTCAGTTTGGGGAAAATTCCAGATGAATTCAAACCCACAGGGGAATCAGGAATCTTGATGGCAGAGGAAATTCACCTTAAAAAAATGTAAGGTAACATTCACAGGCACAAAGTAGCCTCCACTTCTTGTTTATGCCAAGACACAGGATTCTCCAAAGTAAATGACTTGGGAAACATTGATGCTAGTTTAAAGATATCTGCCACCGGGTTCAGAGGCAGTGAAAAAGCAAGTGGCATGCTTGGTGCACTACAAAGGGGATGAGCAAATACAGAACACACTATGGGGATATTGTATTGAAGAACTGTCTGCTCTTATTTGGAGCATTGTGTCCAGATCTGTCCACTTTAAGAAAGATAGAACTCAGAGTCAAAAAGCCAGAGAGGCAAGTTAGATGGTTAGAAAACACAGGAGTTTACATATGATGCAAGAGATACAAATCTAGGATTATATAGCCTAGAAGGAGAAGAGTGAGAGGGGATTTGAGCTGAACTATTAAAGGTTAAGAAGGGTTTAGTAAAAACTGGCCAGTGACTCTCTGTCACACTGGCCCACAATAAAGGAACAAGGAGTAATGTGATAAAAATAACGGTAGATATATTTAGAACCTCTGCTGCCTCACACATCATATAATCAGTTTGTAAAACTTACTGCTGCAGGCGGTCAGACAGTCAAAAACTGTTGATGGATTTTAGAAGGTCTCGATAATTTTATGACTGCTAATGCAAATGAATAGTTGCGCATGCTAAGGAAAGGGTAATAAAATGTCAGGCTGCATTATGATAAACTGATTGATTACCATATGACTCAGCCAGGAATTTTCCCCTGTGTTTATGGCACTGAAGAATTGCTTAGGAGCATTGTGGTTATTTTTCCCTCCTCTGATGTATCCGTGAATGGTTGCTGCCGGTCAAGGACTATGCCTGGTGGATTAAAGGCCTGATCTGGTTTGGCAAATCCTGTGTAAATAGAAGCGGGATGAGTGTCCATCAGGGGAAGATTACCTAAAAGCAGGTGCACTGTCTCGCTCGATATTCCGTGCTTTTCTGGTCACTGTTACTTTCTCAATATTCACAGCCAGCCTGCCCCTGGCTACTTCAATGCTGACCAAACCCTGGACTTCATGGTGCAGGCGCAGAGCAACAACAATGTGAAAAAGGTAAATCCTAGGAAAGCAAACACTTGGGGAGGACTGTGGTGGGACAGAAGAGAGGGCAGGGTATGTGCTAGCTGTAAGGTCCCAAGTCTCTGCCATAATCATCTGTCTCTTCCCATTTCGATGGCTGATGGTGCTCACGTTGTGTCCCCCTCCCTGTTTTCAGATGCTGGTGGTGGATGGTAAATCAGGCCTCCCTGTTTGGAGCTATGATCTCCCGTGTCACATGCAAGAATCTGATGCACTGTCAGTGATGACTTTGGAGAGGAAATCTGTTTTTCTCTTCTGGGCTGACGAAATGCAGCCTGCATTACAAAACTTGGTAAGCAAGAGCCCTGTTCCCACTTGGAAGCTTTCTGCCTGAGGAATATTCAGTCTCTCCCCCTTTTCTTATTTCTTCTTCAGTTACAATGTTACTGAACTTAAAACCTTCCATATGGGATGGGTGGTGAGATGGGGTGGTCTCTTGGTTCTAAATTCTGAACTGAGCATGTACACACACACACACAGTCTGCTTTTAAATCTACTACTAGATTATTAATATTTTTCCTTAAATAGCTGCCATTTTTATAGGCGCCACATAAATGTGAGCTCCCCTGTACCTGTTCAGCAGTTCAGATCCACTCTGTCATTGGTAATGATGTGGAACGCAATCAAGACCCCGCACGTATTAGTTTTTGTCGTGGGAGACAAGGTGAGAATAAATTGTATGTAGGCCAAGAGGGAGAACAGAAGTGAAGGAAATGCATTTTAGGTGGCGTTACGCACACCCACATCTACACGAGGAGGAATAACATAATGAAATCTTCCACCTGTCTCAGGTCCGGTAAAGTCAACCATCACCATGGTATCTGAGTGAAGGGAGAGAAAAAGTGTACAAGGCCTTCAAGCCAGCTCTGTCTAAATTCTGCAGTGATTGTCAATAGCAGTTGAGTCTCACCCCTCGTGGTTGTAGCTAATGGCTGCAGTGCTTGCTGTATGTCTAGGGGAGAAAGCAGTGAGAGAACTCTGTGGGATGCTGCAGAAGCCTTTCCTAGCCCAAGTGTCACTGGGACAGTGTGCCCCCTCCTAAAAATATAGTGTTCCTAAGCCCAGAACTCTTTTATATGGAAGTGGGGTGGGGGGTTGTGCGAATGTTCAGCTAAACGTGTGTTTTCCAGGAAGGAACTCCAGGGTTTAGCTTCCATAATCATTTCAACCAGCATTCCACAGCTCGGTGGGCAGGCTGCTAGACTGGTCCAGGAGAGGGGAGAGCAGTGAGGAAGGGAGAACTAGCTGAGTCAAAAAAAGCTGCATGATCTTGGATCAAAACCACAGCCGTCACTTGCACCTGTGACAGTTCTTAATGGAGACAGCCCCATGAAAAACTCGCATGAATGAGCTCAGACAGCAGCCTGCCAAGCCAAGCCAAGCCTCCCTTTTCTGCTATTCAGCATGCTTGCAAGAGCAGGCGCAGCCTGGCACTATGAAGACACCAATGGAGGGCAACACCCAAGAGGAGGGTGGCAAGGGAGGAAAAGAACAAGAGCAAAAAGAACTTTAAAAATATAAAGCAAAAAATATACGGAAGACAAGAAAGGGGAAAAAAGAACAGAGAGAGTGAGGGAAAGGAACGAGAAATGTGCCAGGGTGTGGCGTGAAGGGACATAGGGATGGGAGGAGGAGTGCCTCACAAAAGGAGTTCTAGCTAAAGAAAATTGATAACTGCTGCTTTACGGCTTCTACAGAGCCGTCTGTCAGGGCAGGAGCCTGTGGACAACTTGCTCTCTGAGGAAGGGATTCTTGTTTGCTTTAGTGACTTGTTCTCCTGGTAGCTGGGCTTACAGTGGTCCCTGCCTACTGGATGGTTGTGCCAGTTCCCATAGCTTCTGTTGCATTTGCAAAAGTCTCACCTGCCACCCTCTTGCCTCACAGTGGTGGTCCCAGTCCCCTATGCTAGTTCACCAGCTGTCCCTGGCTGGCGGAGAGATGGGTTCTCAGAATGTTTCTTTCTTTTGCCCATCTCCTCCCTCAGCATGAGTCCATAGAGAAGCTGCTTGGGCTCACACGTTTTTCTAGACATCCTCCAGGGGCTCCTTTTCATACTGAGAAAGAGCTTTGGGGACAGCTGCTGTGGAAGAGCTGTGCAATCAAAAGGGAGACTAGCTGAGATAAAGCACTGTGGGAGAGACCTCGTGTGTGAATGGTTCTCTCTGGAGCAGGAGAGTCCATCCTGGAGAAGAACCGAGCTTTTCATAGCAGCAAATCAAGGATGATTACTGTAGCTCATGCCAGTCAGTGTAAGATGGGGGTTCTCAGCAAATGGAGGCTTCTTCCAAAGCAGGGGTTGTTGTGGAAGATGTAGCCATCCCTTTTCTGCCTTTCTTTCCAATAGGAGCCTGGCCCAAGAAACAAGCGTCCAGGGCTACACCACCTCTACCTCCTGCACCCTACCTTTCCTACCATCCTTTTGGACCTCACCAATGTAACAGACACAGTGACTGCTTCAGCCAGTAAGTATACAAGGGCATGGGGTGCTGCTTAGTCTTGTCTCAAAGGGAAACAAAGGGAAGCTTGAAGAAAGCCAAATGGATGTTAAAAACCCTTCCCTGTTCTGAAGGAAAAGTTGGCTGTGACATGGTATGAGGTTTTGCTGTGCTTCAGATTAAGCAGGACCCTTGGTGTCCACCAAGTATAGGCCAGCCACAGAAAAGCAGTGAAAACCGCCACCAAGGTTCAACTCCCACTCCTACTCTCTTGCCCAACACCAGGTCTATAGGCTGGCAAGTAGAAAACTCACCAAATCACTCTTAACATATGATAAACACTAAGGGCCTGATTCTGGTCTCACATTGGTTTTTCTTTGGAGTAGATCCATTGATTTCAGTGGAGTTCTTCAGTATTTACTTCAGTTCAAGAGGAATCAGATCCAATCATCTTGCTGCCCCAGTAGTGTGCCCGAGAAAGTCACCTATTCTGCACTATGCAGGGTGACCAGACAGCAAGTGTGAAAAATCGAGACGGGGGTGGGAGGTAATAGGTGCCTATATAAGAAAAAGCCCCCAAAATTGGGACTTTCTCTATAAAATCGGGACATCTGGTCACCTCGCGTTATGTGGAAGAACCTGCTCTGCTTCCTCCTCATTCATTTGAAGAGGTGATTGAAATTAAATACTTTGTTTAAATATTCGTTTTTCCTTGGATGGTTAAACCTGGATTTGCCTCCATACAAAATTACACAATCAGGGAAGTGGAATGTGGGAGTTTAAACTACCTCCTAAGAGCATCAGCTGGACACCCAAGGGAGCATACCAGACCAGTTGCACCAATAGTGGCCTGGCTGGTGTGGCAGGAGGCAAGATACGGGATTAGATGAACTGGCATTGAATCTAGTGTGCCAGGAGCTGGGGCCCAATGCTAGATATGCCACAAACAAATCTGCTGGGGCATAATGGTTTTAATATTCATAGCACTGTTGAAATAAATAGCCGCCTTGAAAGTAAGTGTAAATTTGTTGTTAGAGCAGGGAATTGGAGATGGTTGTTCCTGGGTTTTGTTCAGATTATTCTATTCATTATGGGGCTTTGGACAAGTCTGTTACCCTCCCTGCCTTGGTGCCCATTTCCCTGTCTGTAAAATGAATAAAATGCCTACTGACCTGCAGAAGAGCTCCGTGTAAGCTTGAAAGTTTGTCTCTCTCACCAGCAGAAGCTGGTACAATAAAAGATATCACCTCACCATGTCTCTCTCAAATGCCTACTTACAGGAGTACAGAGGATTAACGTTTGTAAGGTGCCTTAAGATTTGGGAATGAGAGGCTCCTCAGAATGTATTACTTTATGCAAGTATTTGTAGCTGCCAGCATGAGACTCTCAAATGCCAGTTGAGTTGCAAACTTCCTATTCTGATCTGCATTGCAATTTATTTCCACTGCAGATTTCCACCTTCGAGATTTTTGAACAGAATGATCCAAATTTATATGTGACTAAAGATCCACAGTCCTTACACAGGGTCTGTCTACGCTGCCATCAGAGGTGTGACTGCAGCACATGTAGACATACCCGAGCTAGCTCTGATCCAGCTAGCTCCAGCACCGTAGCAATGCAACTATGGCAGCACAAGCTAAACAGCCTGGTTTGGGGCCCTGAGTATGGACTCAAGCGGCTAGCCTGTGCTACCACTGCTGTTGTTAGTGGAGCCAATTAGATCAAAGCTAGCTCGGGTGTGTCTACATATGCTGCAGTCACATCTCTGACTGCGGTGTAAACAGACCCTCACCCAGACATGACTCACACTGAAGTCAGTGGGAATCTTGGCTGAGTGAAGACTATAAGCTTTTGCCTGAAGGGTGTAATTTTCTCAGTGTTCACCAGTATTTTCTCTCCCTTTCTTATCAATCAGTTGGAATTAACGATCTCCAAAAAGATGCGTTTTACATCACCGTGACAACGAGCCCTACCTCCGAAAACCAGCCGGGCCTGCTGTTGGTCAGTAAGCTGAGCCTGCGGTGGGCCATGCTCACTCAGAGCCGAATGGTGCCGCTGATGGAGACCACCCCAAAAATCAGCCGTGGGGAAGTGAGGAGATTCCTCTCCAGGCTGAAATTTATTGATTTTCCTCACAAGGTGAGACAACTCAGAGGGAATCTTTGCTAAGTCACATGGGTCAGACTGGGCAGTGCCCCTCCCCTCATGGGCAAGGGTCGGGATCTTTCTGCGCTGGCATTTGCAGGATGCCATCCCTTCGAGCGTAAATTGAGTGGATTGTCAGGGCCTGCAGATGCTTTGGAAGTTAGGACGTGACAGTTGGACTGGAGGAGTCTTGGGAGCAGGACAAGGACAGGGGATGGTAGCTGGGGAGGGGACGAAGGGCAGTGGGGAACATGGGGAAGGCAGGGGTCCCCTGCCTGGACTTGGGGCTAGTAGAGTCCTGGCCATGAGCCCGTTTCTCTGCCTGGCTGATGACTTTTCTCTCTTTCTCCAGTTCTAGCATGTTGGCCCATCAAGTTTCAATAGCCAGGTGGACGTGTGGTCTGGGTGGGGCACGGGGAGCTGCTCGGCGATTCCTCAGGACGTCCGCTGTGCCCAGGGAGTGGGGACTGAGCACTCTCTCTGTCCCCACCCCCCGCTTGCTGTGGAATGGCAGGGCCGGGTTTGCCATTGCCAGATGCCACCACTGGGAGCAACTGTGTGTGACCCCTTCCCCCCCACACCCTGCCTGCATGCTTCCTTCCAGGTAACATGGAAATGAGAAGGCAGAGCGGTAGAGCTCTGAATAGATACATGTATATTTTTGTATGTTTAATTTATGAACTGGTTCCAGGAAACTCCCATTTGTATCCATCCAGCATTTCCTGCCATTCTGCTCTAATCTCTTTATTTTTGTAGTGGAGCCTCTGCCTGGCTCATATGTGGCAGGGCTGGTCACGGAGGCTCCACCAGCTGTCCTACCTCTTTATTTTACAGTCACCAGGCCACTCCACTTTTCCATGTCCAGTTCCCAGTCTCCTGAACCGTCCAGCCCTCTGTGCCCTTGGCAGGTTGGGAACGTGTGCTCCAGAGGAGAAAGGTTCCACGTCCCCACTCCAATTGTCCCGCCCAACCAGGTTGAAGTAGTTGGTGGAGCGGCTCCCCATTCCTAGGTCGCCCTTTCCCCTTGCTTTGTTTGCAGGCCCAGAGCTCCATAGAAACATGCCCAATATTCACAAGAACATCACAAAGCAAATTTGTTAACTGAAGTGGGCCGGATCCTTAGGAACAGGGGAGTGCAACCACTTTGTGCCGTGCCTCTGGCAGACTCTAGCCTGGATATGTGGCCCCAGGAATATCTCAGCAGTGTGAAGTGGTTCCTCAGATGGTGTAAAGGCTTTTCTGAACCCTCTTGCTTCTTGCATAGGAGGAGGGGCTGGAGGCAGGGGGTAGAGCCAGGAGACCCTTTTCTGAACTGATCCCAAGCTGCAGTTTTGGTCCTTTATGGCCATCACCAGGTAGCATAAGTTAGAATAGCCAGAAGGCTGCTCTGACTTAACAGTGGGGACCTGTGCTACTCCCAGCTGCCCCAGAATCAGGAGAGGATTAAGATGGGCTTTATATTATCACTTTCCCCCCAACCTTCCTCACAGTGCAAAAGCCAGATCTGTCCCCAGTATATTTTAATTCTATGAAATGTAATCTCTGTGTCTCGGGGTGTGCGACGGCCTGTGCTCCAATTCTGGAGTGTGTCCGTAAAGCCTCCTGTGACATAGGGGCAATGCCTCCTTGGTGATGTCTGGCCCCTACTAACTTTCCCCGCTGCAGGGTGCCCTCTTATAGGAACTGGTTTCCCAGCATGCCTCTCTCAGGCTGGCCCTTTACATTTGGCAGAGCCAAGCAACTGTAGCCGTAAAGTGGCCAATTGGCTGCTGCTTGGTACATTTTTCTCTCCTCCAGCTAGTATGTCCCCTTTGTTTTCCTCCAGTTCTTCTTTTCTTAGTGCTGAGGAGAGGGCACAGTTTGGCACCTCCTTTTAAAAGGGCACATGAGCTATGGGTGTGGTTGGCTCTGTACCCTGGGCTCTTGGCCCAGCTCCCCACTGCTTGTTTCTCTTGCTCTCTTTCCAGTGAAATGCTTCTGTGCAGTCTCTTCAGGGGTAGCTGCAACCCCGAGGCTGGGCCTTGGGCCTCTCCTTATTAATGCCAGAGCCTTTGAACAGTCTGTATATGTTTAATGGTATTTGTGTGTAAATAGCTTTGTAAATATTAGCACAACTGTAACAAGGAGCTCTGGTCCTAGCGCCTGCCCGGCCTCTATTCTCTTCTAGCTGGGTGTGGTGTTTATATGTGTTGGTTGGTTTGTAAATCGGGCTGGCTGGTAGTGGCTGAATGTAAGGACCAGTAGGCAAGTTAGGAACAGGGATGTGCTTCCTCCTCACCTCCCATCTTGCTGGGAAAGGCTGGTGGGTCACTACCCGAAGGAGTAATTCCCCTGAGGTGCTTCCTTAAACTCCTAGGCGTGATAGTCAACGTCCAGTGATGCTAGCTCCCCCATACTGTGAATTTCTCCCATGCGTTCCCACTGTGAATAAAGACTGTCTGTATATTGTTGGGAACTGTGAACTGCAGTGAAACAAATAAATATCATGTACAATACCCCCTTTGTGTGTGACCGTTTAGCCTGGAAGGGAGACTGCTTTTTGTTACGGGCAGGGCTCCCTCAAGGGCATTTGGGGAGTGAAGAGCGAGCAGGACCTCACCACTGCACCTCTGAGGGGATTGTGTGGGAACAAAATGGACAGGGGTCCTGAAGAGGGAAAGAATGGAGCAAGGAGCATAGACGGGAGCCCCAAAGAGAAGGAGGTTGGGTGCACAGTGTGTAGAAGGGCGCCTCAGAGGGCACGGGAGCAGACAGGACTTGGCCAGAGGTGATGGGTGCTTTAAAAGGGGGATTGGTGGGTGGAGGAGGGAAGAGGTGACTGGAAGGCAAGTGCAGAATGAGACCCTCTTTCTATCCCTGTTCCAGTGGGAAACTCCTGCTTTGAAGCGATTTCTCTGGCTGTTCTGGGGGAGGGTCTGGAGCCAGTTTAACTCAAAAGGGCCAGACGTGACATTCTGCAGCGCACTGGGTGTTTTGAAAAATGGGACCCATTTCAAGTTGTGTGGCAAATAGAGCTGGGCATACATAGCCCAAAGCCTTAGGGGTTTATTAACATGGAGGTCAAAATGCCATGATCAAAAGGAAAGTTCCAGACTCTCACCATTATAATTGCTGACAACTGGTACTGTCCCCCTGGGTGTACCCTTTCCATTTTTGTGGTACTGTTGGCATTGGAATGGCTCCCATAGCACCCCTGTGGCAGCGCGGGAGCCTCAGGATACAGGTGGCATAACAGTTTCCAGTGGAAAAGGCCTGTGCGTTTACCATTCCCGACTCACATGGTACCATTGCCCTCAAGAGAGCAGACCAGCTCTAGTAGGACAAGCCACAATGTCACTGTGAGTGTCCCTGCAGTGCTGCCCAGAGACATCGATAGCGGTGACCACATGCCTTCCCCTCCTCCCAGCCCCCCGGAAGCGTTAAAGAAAGGAACCAGAACCCTAGGGAACTTGTTAACATTGATACTAGTATTTGGTTCAGATCTCAATCTCCCTACCGCTTCCCAAACAGCCTGCTCCCCACTCCCTAACAGTGGTCTTCCCCGACGGACTGTCCCAAGACCTCGTCTAGCTCAGGTTCCTGCTGTAGCACCTTCTGCTGCAGCTCGGAGTAAAAGTCGACCCCCTCTGAGACGGAGCGGAGGGGCTTGTCTCTCTGCTGGTAGTAGCTGCTCATCTGCTCCCTGTGGTGCTGCTGCTGCATGAAGCACTGGTGGTGCTGTGACTGGTCCTTGACGCTCCCGTCGTAGCCTTTGATATGGTTACGCTTGAACTCCAGCACGGTCTTGGTGTAAGTGTTGAGAGTGGTAACAGCAGAGGCCATGCAGCAGGTGAAGGAGGCCCAGGCCATGCTATGAGAGGGGAAGGAGAACAGCACATGCAATGAGGACCTTAATAAAGTCTTCCACTGTCAGAGAAGTATGATGGGGTCAAGAAATGAACCAGATGCATTGCAAGGAGCTAATGGCCTTCTTCTGGAACACCAGGCAGAGGCCACTAACTGGAGATGGACATCAACTAAATAGACCAGAGCTGTAGCCCAGACCCAAACCATTCTAGCCCTTGAGCTTTATCCTGCCTCCGTTACCCTTCCCTTCCCCCAAACAATAGAGTAAAATGTTGCTACATCCATAACATACAGTAGAGAAAGAGGTGGGGGAAAATGCCGTAAGGAAAAAAGTGGATGCAGCGAGAGAAAATGACAGGAGGACGCTGGAAAATCTGCACCTGGAAAGCATGATCCCGAGGCAGACCCCTTAGAGTAACAGGCCAGCCAGGGAGATCCTGAGTATCTTGTTCATTTTGCGGTCTTCAGTTACATTAACCACGCTCTGTGGCACCTGTTGGATACTTTTTGTCTTGTTTTCAAATAGCTTTTGATATGGTCTTTTCATAGGATCATTACAGAAAGAAAATAACCTTTCACATTCAAGTAAGCCAATATTACATACATGGAAAACAAACCCTAAAAATAAACTTTTTATATGTATCTAGGTTTGAAACTGCAGGATTTTCCAAGGAATAAATACTCAGGACTCATCATAGATCACTGAGGATACTGCCCAGCATGCAACTGCAGTTAAAATGGCATTTTGGAAAACATCATAATGGACAGAACAATGTTAATCATTTGTGTTCAGTTTTGATCACATTATTTTGAGACAGAGCTGAGACTAAGAAGCTCCACATCAGGGCAGCTAGACTTGCAGAGATGAAATATGTAAATAAGATTATTTAGAGTGGCAGAAGTGAGGGACTTCTCAGAGAAGAGATTGAGAAGGGCACAGTGAAAACTGATCAGGCCATCTTTTTTATACTGTCCCATACTTTGACCTGAAATTGATTTGAAGTTAATAGGCAAGTAAACTTAAAACCAATGCAAAAAATACTTCACACAATAACCAGACAGTCAGTGGAATACAATGCAGCCAGAGGTTCCAAAGCCAAACATTGCAACTAGATTTAATAAGGTCTGGATCATTTTATGGCCAATAATGTAGTTCTGCTAATCTAATCTCATGCTTCAAGCTATAAACTGATCACTGTCTGGGTCAGGAAAGAACCTTCCTGCTTCCCTCCTAGCCCTGCAAGATAGCACCGTTGGCCAGATGCTTTTATTGGAGTTCTGTGTTCCTCCAAAGCACTAGGTATTAGCCACTGCTAGAAGAAGGATCCCAAATGTAATGCACCAGTGTTCTGATCAAGTCTGAAAGGTTTTGTGTTCCGGTTGTGTCCCTCAATCCCAGAGTTTCCCAACACCTCCTTGAGCCATACCCTCAAAACACCATTATCGGGACTATATGTTCTCTAGCACTATGCCTATTTCCCTCTTAAATAGGTGGCTCCTGTTATCCTGTGGAAGAGACAATGTTCCTGTGACTTATGACTGTATAGGGACAACAGTGAGCAGTAGACACTGTGCTCAGTATCTTGAATGCACCAGTACCAGCTTCCTTAATGCATGGTCACTACATTTATGAGGAGGATCTTGCACTGTGCATAAGTGGTGATGGAACTTTGTAGAGCCGTTATGATGCTGTATACGGAGAAGTATGCTGGATTTAGCATTAAGGTGACTATGGTCAGGACTGCAGACTCATAATTACAGAAAAAGTGTTATACTGACTGATGCAAGCAACAGGAGGCCCATGTAGAAGGTGGCAATGGAGACAGATTGTGAAACCACAGGAAAGGAGGGATTCTGGTGAATCATTTCAACAGAGCGCCAGGCACTGTAGTTTCTAGGCACGAGTTTATAGACAAGATGCAAAATAACACCTAAACCATCCACATTGATGGGTTCAGATGGCCATGTGGGATGTGATGGGAGGCTGAGCCCTAAGCTTGCCCCTGTTTATATTCAAATGTGGGAATGTGCCAGTTTTATGAGCAAACCATGATGAAATGGAGAGGATGGATGAATCCAATTCTAGAGAAATGGCTGGTAGTGAAGGTCAGGGCACTTTTCTAGCCCGCAGCTCTAGGTGGTCGTCAGATTGCACAAACTCAGCAGGATTGGGCCTGGTTGGTATTTACATGGACTAAGCAGGGAACATCGGGAACTTAATTTGGTGATGCTTGCCCCTCTGACTCAGTACTAAGCCAGTGCCCTAGTATGCTGTCAGGGGGCACTGTGCTGCTGGAGAAGTTGGCGTTTAGGCTACGTGTGCACTATGAACGAGGGGTGTGATTTCCCCTGCTCGTGTACACATACTCACACGAACTCTCATTGAGCTAGCATGAGTATAAATAGCTGTGTAGCCACAGCAGCATGGTCAGCAGCAGCAGAGGCATGACTGAGCTTCTGAAATAGGGAGGTCTATTAAACTGTAGGATAGTTTCTCAAGGTAAGGGGTGGAAGCTCCATATCCTGGTTCATTTAAAATTGGACTGGACAAAAAACTCTGGGGAATATATGTTTCAGGGAGCAATCCTGCACTGAGTCAGGGGAGTGGACAGATGTGACCTAGCTGGTTCTCCTCCATCCCAGATCTATTACATTAACCCGTGTGAGACAAGGGTTGAGGCAAACACCTAAGGATGACAGAGAAGCAGCACTGGGGAAGCCATATTGGAGCTGTCTTCAAGGGCAAGGGGGCTAAGTAGAGGAGTTCTGGAGAGGTGGAGTGTGACTCCTACAGCCATAAGGATGTGGAGAGCCTCACAGTTCACGTACTAGAAAGCCCAGCCATAGTCCCACGAGTGCGGTCTCCAGTCCTCTGGCCCCAGATTGACAGTTGCTTGGAAGACTTGTGAGTACATCATGTGAGCCACCATCCCCAGCAGGCCTAAAGCAAGAGGACAGGAAGGCACAATTGTCACAGTGGAGGCCAGGGCCAGCTGATTTGTTCTTCTGTCTAGGAACTAAGGCTTAGAACCAAATCCATCCTTCCACTCAGCAGGTTCAGCAGCTAAGTAATCTCCACCCTTGGGCCCTGTTCGCCCACCCTGTGTCATTGTCTCTCCTCTAATTCCTCATTATTCTCCTCAACGCTGCCCATTTCCTTCCCTCTCACTCTCACATTCTCTCCATTGCCCCTTTCCCCTTTTGCCCCCCATTGTCACTCTGAGGCTAATGAATGTGTGAGGTCTTGGCTGCACTTTCTTCCCTGAAGGATTTCTTGAATCCTTTCCTTGATGAGTTTCACTCCCTGCCCTGAGCCACTTGTGCTGCCACCCCAGAATGCTTTCATGACCCCGTGTCTGCAGTGGAGCACCAACCAGACAGCACAGAGGAGACAGCAGCGAAGGCGTTGAGCTTCAGCCCGCAGACTGGATTCCCAGAGTACAGCATTTCTATCAGCAGCAGGATGAAACTAATGAGCAGCAAGCTGATGTAGACCATCTCTGACCCCAATGACAGCCACAGGATTCCTGCCACAAACCAGAGGAAAGAAGAGACCTCTCTGAGTCAGCACAAAATGGGGTCATGATCTGCCACAGCCCTCCCGACCCTGACCCCTCAAAGGATCCCCACCATAACTGGGGAGAGAGAGAAGACTCCAGACATTCCCCACATCCCGCTGAGCAATGTGGAGTGAATAGCCAAACATTGGCTAAAAAGAATGTGGCCATTCTGCAGGGATGACATTCACCCCTGTGCAGATGGCCTGAAGAGGACATATATACCACTTAAGCCTTCAAATTAGGGTTTAAATTATATGCATAGGTCTTGTGTGGATCCTCTACACAGGTACATCTAGGGCAGTTGAGTAGAGCTCAGAAAAGTAGGAGATGATCTTATACACAGGGGTCCTGTAACATCTCTTTACTGGGATCGACTGTCTCCCAGTTCCCTGCTCTAACCACCATTACTACTAATAGACACCCTAGCCCTGAAATTGAGCTGTACCTTTCACTGCAAGGGAGGGGGAAGGTGGCTTTAGGACTGACCAATAGCTCAAATTAGCCAGAGGCTGGTGAATGTCAGCTACACTCCCTCCTCCTCCCAACATACCCACCTCTGGCATGACCCTATGCCAAGAGCTATAGGGGGAGAATGCAACATAGAGCCCTTATGCCAGCCCTATGCCACCCAAGGAGTCCCCTTCCCCCATTTCCAGATGGGGAGGATCAGTTGTTTTTCTGAAGTGAAAAGGGGATGGAATGCAGCCAAGATTTGGCACCCCATCTCTAATTTTATATTGTACTATATAATAACAGATGTGGATATTGTATTAAATAGTGTAGCGTACAGTGTATCTCCTAACTTCTATAGACATTATTCTGCTCTCCTACAGGATGTTCTAAGCTACTCCAATTATATAAAATATTATGGATACTAATTAGGATCTGTACAAGACCATTTGAAAATCAAACATTTGGGAGCTCTGTTTCATCCCCTGTGCAATTAGCAAAAGCCTTAGTTTGGACTGTGATGGAGTTTGGAATCTTAGATGACAGGTGACATCACAGTGTCACCTGGGAGACCAGGAATGCCAGTTCCAGAAGCTTCTTTTCAGCCTTGGCTAAATAACAAGGCTCGAACAGGACTGCCTTTGAGCACAGAAGCTGAGCTCTTATGCATCAGGAGTCTGGCTTTGAGCCAAGAACGTGAGTGCCAACTCCCTGGAGCTGGTGGAAAGTGATTGTATGGGGAAAGCCTGAGCTGCCTTGTAAGCCTCGAGCTAAGGAGGGCTCAAGACTCCAGTTGTCCAGCTCCTCCCTGCTACTACTCCAGTGAAGGAAAAGTGATCACTGGGTTGTTTCCAAATAAGCCATATAGACCCAATGCAGGAGAAGTTCAAGGTGAGCTGGGAGACTCATCTCCCTATTCTGCAGTTCAGGTTTTGATAAGGAGCAGGAAGCATCTAGTTATACTAAGTTCTTGCATAATTGTTTCTGGATATCATTTTCCATTCTGTAAGTTCACAAGTAATTCCCACTCCTGGTTTTGGTCCATCTGTTGTAGAGTTGACTTAGCCTGTAGTTCTACCTGTTAGAATAATTAATGACTGTAATTTAAATACAACAAGCTTTCTGCCTGTTCCTTTATAGTGGTAGGGAATCCTATTGTGAGGAAGGATTGAGCCTAGTAGTGGATCATGGATAACACACACTACTCTGTTAAAACTAATTAATACTGAAAGACTAGGAAGATGACCTTGTGCTTGAATAATGTATCCATGCAAAGTTGGTTGGGGATAGGCAAAGCACAAACATTTAAATTACCCAGTAGAAATAGCTCCCGTTGTGACTACAGGTCAGTTTTTAACTAACAAGTGCCATCAGTAAAAATACAGATTTGTTATTCCCAAGGAGACCAGGGTAGATGTATATATTTATTAATGTAACAGGATAAAACGAAACAGCAACTTACTGTCTCCCTGACTGCCACCAGAACTCAATCCCTCTACAACAAAACACAAAACTCCCCTCCCTTGCACAGATCCTAACCCACAGCAAACTCGGCCCTGCACAGCAGCCCATGGAAATCTGGCCACAGGCCCTGTCTATGTGTTTTATATTTTGACACCTACAGTAGAGATTTCTGACTCAAACTAAGAATGAAAGCAGGCCTCTTGCATGCATCTGGGAAAGTAGCTTGTTAATACTAAGAATTCTTTGCTCACATATTCCGTTTCTCTTCTGTAGATTTCAAGATGCATTACAAAGGTGGAGTATGCATTATTATCACGATTTTAAAGAGAAAGTAGGACCAACATTTTCAAAAGTGGGTACCCCGAAATAGTGGCCTTGAAGTCAATGGAAGTTTTGCCATTGGCTTCAGTGAGAGTAGGATTTCACCCTTAGGGTCCAATTTATAGATGTTCTGATCACCCACTGCTCCTATTCAGCTGGAGTAGTGGATGCTCAGAATGACAAATTCAGAACTCGAGTGTCTCAGGTTGGGACCCAAAAATTAAAGCACCCAAAATTGTGGCCATGTTTCAAATTTTTGACAGAAGTGACTTGCCCAAGATCATATGTCGAGTCGATGGTACAGCTCTGTTACTATTTATCATGTACACCGATTGCCTGTGTGCATTCTAGGTTATGACCAGGATTAGACATGCTGAAACACAGCAAAAGAGGCTGTCTTTGCCACATTTCCAGTTGGGCTGACAGCAGGAAGTACCAGAAATTATGTGAGGAAGGTTTAGATTTCTAGCTTTTTGGGTAGACATTTGGGGTGAAATCTTCAGTACTTTGACTTCAATAGGCCAGGATTTTACCCAACCTTTTAGGTACCTACAGCACCCTCTCAGCCTGCAGAAGTTCCCCACTCTCTAGACAGTGCATTGGGCAATGCTAGTGAGAAAAAGAAAAGACTCATTCTTACCTCTCTCTGCGGGGGGTGAAAGCTCAATGAAGCTACGACATTTCTCATCTGAAATGCAAACACAATCAAGCTCAGATTATATGGATTCTCAAAAGATAGTAGGGGAGGATGGAGGGGAAAAAATTCCACCTTAGTTGCCTCTTTGATTTCTCAAGCTTGCAGGCTCTACCTATCTTAAGGTCTCCTAGAGTCTGCTGTCTTTCTGACCAAAGAGATGGTTGCTTTGATCTGGTTTAGGAGTCCAGTGCAGAAAAGTGGGGAAGGAAGGACAGTGGTCTGTCTAGTTCAGATGGGGCTCTTAGGAGAAAGCTAGTGTACATTCAAAAAAAATTAAGTACAGTTGAGTATAAGTAAATAGCTATAAATTCGAAACACTAAAAGAAAGCTATGATGAGAGAAAACGTTCCTTTGCTGTCATAGAAGATCCACAAGCTGCTTTAACTCTATAACTTCACTCCTCCCAGCTTCAGCTCAGAGATCATAAACTTTCTTCTATCCCACTCTTCTATTTCATGATTTTCCAGTATCGGCTACAAACCCTCAAACTCATCACGTGGCCCATGCTCCATTTGCCTGCCTGTTATTTGCCAAACACACCAACTCTTTTCCTCTTACGCTCCATGAACAAACCAGAGAGGTGCTTCTTGTCCCACTCCAGCTATGCTGAGAAAACCACAATATATATCCTAATCTCCATAGACAGGCCATCTACCTTTTTTCACTCAGAGACATGGAACTCTAATTTACCCCATCCACTTTCCATATATAGCCTAGGAGGACTTGTGGCACCTTAGAGACTAACCAATTTATTTGAGCAAAAGCTTTCATGAGCTACAGCCCACTTCATCAGATGCATCTGTAGCTCACGAAAGCTCATGCTCAAATAAATTTGTTAGTCTCTAAGGTGCCACAAGTACTCCTTTTCTTTTTGCGAATACAGACTAACACGGCTGTTACTCTGAAACCTGTCATATATAGACTAGAAACTCCATTATCATTTTCATATATAATTTTCTGATGTGAGTCAGAGACATTGCTCCAGGCCAGTTATCAACTGCCATCCAATCCACCCAACACACACAGGCCAGAATACCCTAGGCACCAAACTAAGCTCAGCCATTGCTTCTTGACAATGGCAGAAAGATGAGCATTGACTTGTCTGTAGAATGTATTATGTTCTCATTAATTGGCCAAGATTTTAAAAATATCCAGAGTTGTATCTAGTCTCTGCTGCACCTATGAAGGAGACTTAGCTCCACCAGGGCCCTCATGCCAGCTATACTCTAGGCTGCATTCAGCAGGTTGATTCCAGCCTCTGCTAAGGAGCTCATATAACAGGCACCAGAGGAGTCAGCTCCCACTTAGGACATGGAATTTTCACTTGCCACTTGTCCTGCAGAAAGTAGCTCACAGCTCCTTCCCGATGAAGGATGTACTTTTTCTTAAGAACAGGACACCCCTTCTCCAAAGGAAACTCTGACTCTCCCCTCAATACAGAATCACTATTACTTCCTCACCCTTAGGCATATACAATCCAAAATTGCTTTGGCTGCCATATCCCAGTGCAAAGTTTTGTCTAATCCGCACATCCATTATAACCCCTAAAACCTCTTAGCATAACTGCTTGCCAGAGTTCTCTTTCCCACTGAATCACCCCTGAGCGGATAATTTTCCCCATATATATTAGCTTGCCTTTTTTCTCCAGCTGAATCTCATCTTGTTATTTTCTGCCTACAATTCTAATCTCTGTAAGCCCTTTATATTATATCTTTCCTCTCGGTGTTCAAAATTCCTTCCAGCACAGTACCATCTGCAGATTTCATTAACTCACTGTTCACTACCTCATCTAGACTTTAATGAAGTTATTAACAACACTGGCCGTAATGCTGAGCTGTGCAGTGGCCTCACGAGACACCTTCCCCTAACTCAATACTTTGCAGCTGATGATAATCCTTTGTTTCTGGTCCTTCAATCATAACAGGGGCTATATTCAAGCCAGTCTGAATTAATTTTGAGAGTCTGATTTCATGAAAAATTGTACCAAATGCATTAGTAAAATCCAAATCTATCAGATCTCCTTCCCTTCATGCCTCACTCTTATTCCAGTACTGCCAAGAGGCCTGTTAAAGCTCTGAAAACCCTTTGAACTCAGTCGAATGATGGAGTCTCATTCCCAACTCATCCCTGGTATTGCCATGGAAATTAATCACAGCTTTAAGCATTCCCACCTAAGTGCACCCTGTTCTGAACCATTCCTGACAATGCCCAGAACAAACCAGTCCTCTCAGCAAGACCTGAGAGTGACTGAAGCTTTTTTAAATATTGTTGTTCTGCTTTTAATTTGTGACCTCTCTGTTTTTAAGCGCTGATCCCAGCGGATCACAGAAGGAGAAATAGTGCACAGAATGCCTTCCTTAACTGACAAGTTCCATTGTGAGTGCCTTTGAGGAAGGGGGATTGCTGGCTGGCACAGAAGAATGGGGATGGGCTAAAACACCTTTCATTTCTGTATTATTAATTTCAACCTAGCTGTTTGCTGCCTTTGGGGCTAGCTCTGACCCTGATATGCCAGGCCATAAAGATTGGCTTGGGGAGAATTCCCGCAGAGCAGGTGTGACTTGGGGCTGACAAAAGCCGCAGCACAGGAGTTGAGGCAGGGTGGGGGTGAGCAAGTCAGGGTGATTTTTTTTTTCTGTGAAATACTAAGACTTTAATGACAAGCAGTAAAGAAATAAAGTTTGCAGATAGTGATACAACTATGAGTCAAGCTACTGCACTGGCTGGCTGAGTAAGGAAAAATAAATATTACTGTGAACATAGTGTGACAGGGTCGGGCCAGATGGCTACAGGAGAGTAATTTTTTTTTTTTTTTGAAGCAGAAAAGAATTTTATTTGCATAACACTTACAAAGACTCACCAAAAAGGAAAAAACAAAACTATGCAACAAAACAAAAGCAAACACAAGGTATAACACAGCAGCCTTCAGGAGCAAGTCAGGGTGATGGGAGGCATGTTTAAAGGGCTCTGGGCTGCGGAGCAGTCCATAGGCAGCCTGGGTAAGGTTGCCATAAATTAGACCAGGACCACTAGCCTAAATTTCACTGGGGGTCACACCAGGCAGAATTTGGTTGGCACAAAGATGCCATGAAGCATATCGCCAATGCCAAGCATTCAAAAAGCATGACTGTGTCCTCCTCCACTTCCCCCACAAACCATGAGCTTCTAAAGATAACCCTCCTGTTTATACTCCCTCTTTTGCACCTTTGGGGTTCAGGTTTGCAAGCTTTTCTCCACAACTCTGAGGGAGAGAAACTTTGGTGGTGGGGGGGGTGTTTTAAATGACAGTTGAAATTCTCTCTTATTCACAGGACTCCAGGGCCTGGGCCTTTAAGAAAAACACCTTCTGTTATGGTACTTGCAATGAAAACAACAACAGTGGTCAGCCCTGCATAAAGCCATCACCTTGTCTCTCACCACATAGGCTCCGTCCCCTACTGAACGTGACATGAACTGGGGGAGGGAGGCTACTCCAGTTCATGCTGGGATAGATGTGAACATTACAAAACCACCGCCTACCACAAATAGTGCCAAGGTGCCTTTTTGTTAACAGTCTCATCTTGTCTCCAAGGCCCATTCAACTCCCCCCGCATCATTCCCCTCACCGAGGGATGAAGTATGGTGGTGTGGTTTGTGGGTATGGGTGGGAGGCAGACACTGCCACTGCCCCAGCTATACCCATTCTGTGGATATGGAGAAGGTACCTTTCCCTAGTGTTGTCAGTCTGGCACCTATCATTGATACTAAAGGCATTTTGCTGTAATAAGAATGAGGCTGAGGCTGCCTTGATGGAGATGCTACCTGGCCCTTCCATGTTCTCCTCACAGGAAAGCCACATGCCAGTGTGGAAGTATCGGAAGGCAAAGCGGTCGTCCCCGGTCTCCCAGCTGTAGTGCACTGCATCCTGGGATGAAGAATTGCTAGCACCTCCGTCACTGGACACGTGCACACCGATGCATTCGGTGGCTTTGCGCTTGCCACATAAAGGCTTGGGCACCTTCTGGGTCCCAACACACCAGTAGCTGCCAAGCAAGGCTGTGGTAGAGAGGCTGAGAGCCAGCAGATTCAGGACAACTGCCAAGACAGCACGATGCCAGGGCAGGATCTTCAGCAGTTCCATCTGCAACAAACAAACATGAAAGACTCACATACCAGCCATGCATCTCCCTTCCCACGCACAATGGCCCAGACCCTCACCGGTGTGTAGGCTCCTCACTTCCACTGATTTCACTGGCAGTCAGAACCTAAATGCCTTTGAGGAGCTGGGCCTATGTCATATCCCACCAAAATGTGTAAGTGTGTGTGTGTCAGGGCAGGGAGGAGAAACAGGACATTCTGCCATCCTCAGGGCATCTTATTCCCTCACTCAGGAATGAGAAACCATTTCCTGACAGCATGACCCCTTCGACTGTGGAAATAGTCACTCGAGGGAAGTGGTTGTTTCAGCCATTTAAAATTGGACTGGACAAAGGGACTGGAGAATAGACTCCAGGGAATACTCCTTCTGTGACAGAGTGAGTGGAGTTTCTCTCTTCAGCGACAGCTGTGTGCACAAAACTGATGAACCGATCAGGGCCATGAAATGCAAGCACCTATGAGGTAGGTGGCATGCCGCAGCAGTTAAACAGCTCCCAGGAACACCACGCATCAGCTTTGGGCAGGAAGCTTTGGTCAGGAAGCAATTGTACCCCAGGACAATGCACATTTGCAATGCCCGGACACATTTTATTGGAAGGCTGCAAAGCATTATTTTTTTCAGATAATGGTTAATTAATTTAGCCCAACATTGTGAGAGGTAAACATGCATGTAGTCATTTTGCAGATAGGGAAACTAAGGCAGAGAAAGGTTGCATGAATTAACCAAGGTCTCACGCCGGATCAGAGACTCAGGAAGAGAACCTAGGAATCCTGACTCCCCAGCCTAACTCCCTACTAGGCAGCACTTCCCACACTGGAAGCTACCAGCCCTTAAATCAGAATTTGAGTGGGGCACTGGGATGGCAATACCCCTGCTCTTGCAAAAAGTGTAGTGAAGATCTTAAATGACAATAAAAGCCTCTATGTTACAATTCATTTGAAAGCCAGCAACTCCAACAGCACCTTAGTATGTCAGGGCACTGGGCCACTTCTCACTCTGAGGGAAGAGCACCCCCGCTGAATAACCCACACCACTTCCCCCCAGAACGCTGCGGTTTTCTCTTGAGGTCTCCCAGCAAAACACTCCATAGAGTATTTCAATGTTATCTGTCCAGCTGCCAGTTTCTCATGTGCCTTCTTCCATGGGGCACCCCCGACGCATGGTACAACCTCGCTGAGTTCATTGGCATGGCTCCTACCTTTCCATATTTAAGATTCTCCTAAAGACCTATTTCAGCTGTGCTGCTCACCGTGGGTAGAGGTGATAGTATATGAATTGCCTCCTGCTGTTTCCTTTCCCCTAACCTCTGTCTGCTTGTCTGTCTGCCTTTACACTGCGAGCTCCCCAAAGCAGGGACCACCCCCTTTTCAATGTTTGGGAAACACCAAAAATAAATAATACTGAGAGATGGAATGCGGCTTTACTCGTGATAACTTACAAGGACACAGCCCAAGGAGGCCACAACCCCTGCGCTGTTAACCAGAAGGCTCATTAAGTCTGATCAGTAAAGGACAGTGCCTGAGATGGAGCAACTTTCCCTCTTGCGTGGGAGTAGGATTGACTAACCTTGCATCACACAGAAGGCCTTGTCTACACTGATGGCAGCATGCAGAGCATGTATGGCTGCAGGCTGCAGTGAAAATCAGGCTGCATCCACACTGCAGTATGTAGCTACACAAGGCAGTGAAGGACCCTGGCGGGATTGGGGCAGCAGGGAAAGGCTTCAGCAGCAAGGGGCCTCTCACCTGCCAGAGCCTTTCCCCAGAGCCAGAGTTTTTCCCTGTGGTGAGGAAGGGCTGCATTGAGGCAGCAGGACACTACAATGTAGACATGGGAGGCACTGCCTGGGCAGAGAGCGACTGTGTGGAGTACATACCCTATGGTTCTGGCGTGTCTTTACTCACCTAAGCAGTGCGTCACCATCTACACTGCTGTGTATACCTGTGGTAGGAGGTGTGCAAAGTCCGTACTCTGTATGCCGCCGTAAGTGTAGACATAGCCTCAAAACACTGCCAGAGGCACAAATGTGCCCAAGCAGAATGAATTGAGCAAAGGTAAGAAACTACCCAACCACTGAGAATGCCCTTCCCTCTCCCTTCAAAGTTTATTGCTCAGGATTCTGTTTCCTCCTGTGAGCCACTCCATGGACAACTACTCAGCAACCTCCCTGTTTAATGACCCTGGGAAGGGTGTTGCCGCAACTACAGAGTTACTCATTCAGTCTCTAATCTGAAGGCATGTTTGCCTTACCAGTGTCCAGGAAGCCGATGATTGTCACCTGCACAGTATTAGTTAAGGGTTTGTGGCCAGGGCTGAGGGAAAAAATGTCCAATAACACTTTTTTCTGGTGAAGATAAGATTGTCAAGAAAACAGATTCTTTGTAGAAAGTTTCAGAATAACAGCCGTGTTAGTCTGTATTCGCAAAAAGAAAAGGAGTACTTGTGGCACCTTAAAGACTAACTGGCATACCTTAGAGGTAATTACCAGCAGGAGAGTGGGTTTGTTTTTGTTTGTGTGTTGGGGGGGGGGTGAGAAAACCTGGATTTGGGCTGGAAATGGCCCAACTTGATTATCATTCACATTGTAAGGAGAGTGATCACTTTAGATAAGCTATTGCCAGCAGGAGAGTGGGGTGGGGGGAGGTATTTTTTCATGTTTTGTGTGTATAAAAGATCTTCTACACTTTCCACAGTATGCATCCGATGAAGTGAGCTGTAGCTCACGAAAGCTTATGCTCAAATAAATTGGTTAGTCTCTAAGGTGCCACAAGTACTCCTTTTCTTTTTGTAGAAAGTGTTTGCTTTCCTCAAAAATATCCAGCTTTTCATCTGAAGCAGAAAACCTGAAAACTGAAAATTTTCCACTGAAAACCAAGTTTTACATTTTTCAGCATTTTTTTTTGGTCAGAATTATTCTGTTGGCACTTGCTAAAAAGGGATTTAGAATCAATCATTATTATTAATTTTTTTGTCAAAAACAATTTTTTTTATTTTCATCTAAATTTTCCATGAGAAAAAAATTCTGTCCAGCTGTATTTGTCTCAGCATCTTAGAATCTGCATAATTTTCTAAATACCTTAGGATTGGGGCAAAGGGAAGAAGAAGGGGCAGAAAATGGTGGTGCCAGGAGGATGTAGAAGAGCTGAGAGAGAGGAGGACATTGGTTAGGAAAATAAGAAGGCAACCTGAATAACTTCCTTAGACAAACACACCCGGAAAAGTTTCCTTCTACGAAAGCCAAGCACTTACTGCCTCAGACAGTGGTAACCTGTCAGACAGCTTCTGGCATCTGGAAAGCCTCTGCTGCTAACCTTCTGAAATAAAGGAGAGTAGAAGTTACCTTGCTGGTGGGTCTTTTACGTGCTGTTGTTTAGTTTGTGGATGGCACGGCTGTAGGACTCACTCTTTGCCTTGCTCTCTCCTGCATCTACCAGCTAGATCTTTCAAGAAAACAAACTGCTTCTAAAGCTCTTTCTCCTTCATCTCCACCCAGCCCCCCAATACCCTGTGATTATTAAATGCTCTCCCTTCCAGCCAGCAGCTGTTTTGAGCTGTTTTATAATCCACAATGCAATCATGGCACAGCTGTTCCGGGAGATTATACGGGAAGAGATTGGTGTTGCAGGCTGGGATTAAGCGCAAAGAGTGATCTGCATTCACTGAGGAAAAAGTTTCAATATAATACAGAGGAGCCTCCAATTACTCCCATTTGATGGATGTTTGGTAGCCCGTACAAAACGAGTTTCTCAGCCTAATGCCTAGCAGTTTCTCAGCCTAATGCCTAGCAGCCCAAAAAACTACAACCACCATTGGTACTAGCTGGTCCCATTGTTGGCAATCACAACAGAGTGGCGAGGGACTGAATGGGCTATGGAGGCTGAGTTCCCTTGATCCTTCGAGTAGTATTCTCCTCGGCAGAACTGAGGCATGTGAAAAGGAAAGAGCAGGGGAAGGGAAAAGCTGGTGCTCTGCACCCGTTCTGAGGGTGGAAGATTTGAGACTCCAAGGGACATCAATCCGGCACCTCTCACAACCTCTTCAAATTCTAATTAAAAAGAAATAACTGGATGAATATGTCAAACAGCCACTAAAGGGCATAGGGGAGCTCTCACTATGATGCAAGGCATTTGTTTTAAGTTAGAACTTCATTACAGAAAAGTGCCCGTAAGGCATCCCATGCACGCCTGCCTATCTGGGGTCAGGAGGAGTCCTTGTACAGAGTGGGCGAGTCTCCCAGTGTTGTTCGGGGTTATCAGAATGGATTGTGTATGTAGCTAGTCTACTCCCCTGCCTCTTGTCATACCAAATAAAGCAATGGTCTATCTAGTCAGGGATCCTGGTTCTTATAAATCCCATTGCTAGATGCTTGAGAGGTAGATATAAAATAATACTTGGCACTTGTATAGTACTTTCTGTCTCCAAAGTACCACACTGACATTAATGAAAATGCCACACAATGCCCCTACCTGGTCAATAGCATAATTTCCTCCTGATCACTTATATCTTGAAGCAGGAGGACTGATAGCCCTTAGATCACGTTAGTCCTAGCTATTGCACAGGCTACTCTTAAGTATATATTTCTTTCTGAGGTTAATTGGCAGCAGTACTAAATGTTTGGACAATCACTGTCCTCAGATCCTTATATTAATTGTTGAGTTGTGCTGAATGCAGATTCCTCTGTCTGAGTGAAAAGAGTGAGGCCCATATATAATATTGGTTAGGAGTCTTCTTCTAGCGAGAGAGGCAATTCTTTCTGTAGGTCAAAACGTTCAAATGGGAGTATGTAAATTTTGGCATTGAAATCCATATTTACAGACCTCAATAAAAGTGGCCTGATTTTCAGAGGGTGAATCTGAGAGGTGGGCAGCCCCTCTGAAAATCCTCTTGCAATCCCTGAGTCAACTGTGGAGCATGCACCTACCTTTTAGCACGTTAGCAGTCCCATTATAGTACGTGGAACAACTCACGTGCTTAAAGTTGGGCACATGTTTAATTATATTGTGGAAGTGAGTTCTAATTTATGTGTCTAGATATGGATTTTAGGTGTATACCTTTAGGTCCCCATGTTTAAAAATACTGGACTTAAGGGCCAGAATTGTGGAAGTATTTAGCTGCATAAACACCTTTAAAAATCTGGCCCTTAGTGTTTTTGATGGCGACAGAATTTATCCTACCACCAGGTGGCAACTTTTCCTCACTCTTTTCTCTGGAAGCCTCACTTGCTGCTCGAACTTGTATCACGTGTATCGGGGAAGCAACATCCCAGTTTATATCTATCTTCTCTCCCTTTTTTGTTCTGTCTTCTCTCAAAGAACAAATTCTCTCTCTGAGTCTCTCTCTCTCTCTTTCTGTGTTAGGTTTTTCTAAGGTGCTTATCTCTATCAGCTAAGCCCCGAAGAATTATAAAACCGTGAAAATTATCAGTGGCAAAGATCTAATAGGTCACCTGCTCCATCTTTTGGCTAATGCCGGATTGCGCCCGGTACAGTATTTTCCAATGCTTGACCAAGTCTCATTTCAAATATCTTAAGCAATGGGGTTTCCATCTGGAGATTATTCCACCATCCAGTAGATTTCAACCTTGGAAAATATTTCCTAGTATTCAACCTAAAATCCCCTTAGCTCAATTTCATGTCATTGCTACTAGAAATACTCTCCCAGACATCCTACACGATTCCACTGCCTTAGCATGCTGTGGGGAGCACTGTTTCTTCCAGTTTTCTCCTCTCTGGGTATCTGCAGCTCCACACCACTGACCATTTTAAAGGTTTCCTTTGCCTAGTGAAGGCAACACAGGAAGCACTCTGATTTCACTGTCTGATCAATCAGGTGCTTTTCTTATATGAACACAACGAGGAACTTCACTGCAAGACACAATATTAGTGCAACATCTTCGAGGCTTACATATACAAAAGTCAGGTCATTTAAAAGTTAAATTTCCCACAGAATTTTTAGCTTGGCCCCATTGCACATACACATTCAGAGCCAAATCCTGCAAGGAGGTGAGCACCCTCAGTGCCCAAGGACTGCTGTGGGATTTGAGGGTGCTGAGCATCTAACTGGATAGCATACTGTGGCAGTGATACTCAACCGGTGGATCTCAAGAGGTGCATGGCTCTTCATATCCCTTTATGTAGTTCTCTTCTCAGGGGTAAGTGAGGCGTCATGCGATGGTCTGACATGGATTCTTCAGTTGCCCTGGGAGAAAATGGCAATATCAACGAAAACACGCACGTTCACTCAGCTAAACTCACATAGACACACTCATACCCACAAACCATTCTGCAAGCTCCTCAGACAGTACACCTGCGTTACCTTCTACCTACAGCTCCTTCTTCTGCTTTTGTCTGAATAAAGTCCAGAGGAGTGGTCCCGTCCCTCAGTGACACATACACAGCAGATATCTCTGGGTGGTGGTGACATTAGAGCCAGACTTTTCGAAACCAGTGACAGACTGCAAATGCCAGATTTCTCCCTGAGCCCTAAGTAATTCTACTCAGATTGCAACCTTTATTTAGCTGTTTGTATGTATGAATTAACTCTTACTTTGCAATGAACTAGTTAGGCATATGTTTGGATTCTAAATCCATTTAAAGGTGAATTTTTTTAAAAACCTTTAATATTGGTTGTACTGTTAGGGACACAAGCTCACTAACAGAATATACGTGTCGAATATACATTGTTTACACATTACAAATATATTTTAAAGGTGAATAAACAAGCTTTTCACCTCTTAGGACCTGACTTTAAGTTCCTGCATTTCTTCAGGAAAAGGTTCTGTTTGAGGGGGGATTGTTTTTTCTTCATTTATATCTTTATGATTTTGACCTATTTCAGAAACACACAAGGTTACAGGAAACAAAGAAAAATTAAATGCAGCAGCTTAAATTTTCAGAATTCACTAGGGATGTTTGTTGCCTTGACTTCTAGATGCCCAACTTAAGATACCTTAAGGGATCTCAATTTACACAAAGCATTGAGAGCCTGCCTTCTTCAAATCGGGCCCCTTTAATGTGACTCAGATTGGGCACCCAAAAATTGAGGAACTTCTAAAAATTTAGGCCAACATATGATATATAGGGAAAAGAAAAAAACAGTGGCTATACCTCTATAGCTATATTAAATAAGATCCAGAGCTTGCTTGTGTGAGCAAGGCATTCGGATACTACAGTGGATACTACAGTGGTGTGGGCCCTACAAGCCCATAGACAGATATATTAGATTAGGTAAGGTAAGCATTTATCTCCATCAGTTCTTTGGGGACAATACCCAAACTGGCACATATGAAAGAGTGGAAACATGCAGCTATTCTTTTTCTTTCATCAAGCATTCATCAATCATGAATCTCCAGGAAATCTGTCCAGATGCCTTGAAATGCACCACATTTGTCAGTTTGTTGATGGGTTAATTCTTTCTAAGCTTGCTAATTCATGCATTGTGTAATATGTCTCAGAAGCTGCAGGATTTCCATTTTTGCAGAATGTCTCTCTTTGCATTTAGAAATGCTCTTAAAACTAATTGTTGACCGTTTTAGTTATACCTATTATGGGATCCCTTCTAAGAATAAATATCCTCACAAACACCTAAACAGAGAAAAGAACTGTCATAGATTCATAGATTTTAAAACCAGAAGGGACAACTATAATAATCAAATCTGACCTACTGCAAAACAGAGACCTTAGAACATCAGCCATTAATTTCTGAATCAAGCCTATAATTTCTGTTTGAGCTATAGCAGATATTTTAGAAAGACATCCAGTCTTGACTTAAAAGGACTGCAGGTGATGGAGAACGCACCATGTCCTTGGTAAATTGTTCCAATGATTAATTACCCTCACCTATCAAAAATGTGTGCCTTCTTTCAAGTCTGAATTTTTCTAGCTTCAGTTTCCAACTATTGGAATTCCTTATGCCTGTCATCATCTGTGCCACAGGAGATACAGAACCCTAAACTTGGCAGGTGACATGCAACAAAATGATTTTAAATATTTTATTTTAAATGCCACAAATAAATGCATTTTATTAGAGAGGCTTAGTGTGAGCTAATGGTTTAGCAAGGAACCCAAATTCCTGAGTTCTCCTCCTGGTTCTGACACTGACTCTATGGTAAAAAGAAAAGGAGTACTTGTGGCACCTTAGAGACTAACACGGACACGGAAAGGATTGACAGATTGCTGGCTCTTTCTCGATTCTGTGGGGGGCGGTGCATGGCCGTTCTTAGTTGGTGGAGTGATTTGTCTGGTTAATGCCGATAACGAATGAGACTCTGGCATGCTAACTAGTTATGCGACCCCCCCGAGCATGCTCAAATAAATTTGTTAGTCTCTAAGGTGCCACAAGTACTCCTTTTCTTTTGCGAATACAGACTAACACTGCTGCTACTCTGAAACCTGACTCTATGGTAGTGGCTAAGTAATTTACACCCAATCTTAAATGAGATCTGTGTGGGCTCACCCCATTGCACATGGAGCCTCAATGAAGTCAAACAGGCTCTTCCTAGGAGTAAAAGTTATCCCTGGGGAGTTCATTGCAGGATTGGGATTTAATCTCTGGTTATTCTGGTTATTTAATCTCTGGTTATTCTGTCTTCAGAATTAATATTATTATTTATTACAGATTAGCATTGACAGTGTGCTCGCTGATGTACAAAACACAAAGGTAAAGATTGACTCTCGTCCAAAGGGCTTAAAATTAGAGTTGGTCAGAAAACAGAATTTCTATGGTGTGGCAAATTCTGACTTTTCAAATGTTTTCGTTCCAAATCAGACTGAAAAGCCACTATTTTCCACAGAACAAAAATGCTAAAAACGTTTGATTCAGAACCATAGAAGTGTTTCCTTTACATGTTGTTGAAACGTCATAATATACATGCAATATATATACAATATTATATATAATATGAAAAGTAATTTAAATATAATATAAAAGTCAAAAGAAAATGTTTTTACCTTACCAAAACTAAAAGTTTTGATGTTATTGACATGAAACAAGAAAGTTGAAATGAACCGTTATGAATTTTTCCCCATCAAATTTTAATCCAACTTATTTTGACCAGCTCTGCTTAAAATCTAAAGGCTCAGGCTGCATGTGAGTAACTTTACTCATTGATGGCAGTGGGACTAACCATGTTATTAAAGTTACATTCATGCATAAGTGTTTGCAGGATCTAGACCTTAAAGAAAGACTCTGAGTTGACAGAAGATGCTCGGAACATTCAGAGGAGAGAGTAATGTAGAGAGTTAGCTTTTTGGGGTCGAAGGAGGTGTTATTGTCCTTTTGTTATTACAGACTGCCTACCTGTGGGTGTTCATGCATAAAAGACAGCATGGCAAGCGGTGCAGAGACTGGAGCAGTAAGTGGTGACAAAACAAGTTGGCAGAACTGACAAAGTGGAGCAGGTGGAAAGTGCAACAAGAGACAAGGCCAGAGATGTCGGTCGAAGTGTCATAATAAGAATAAGCTGCCTGATGGAGGAGGATTAGTTCCTCTGATGCTTGCTTTGAAAACAAAAGGAGGGATAGCTCAGTGGTTTGAGCATTGGCCTGCTAAACCCAGGGGTGTGAGCTCAATCCTTGAGGGGGCTGTTTAGGGATCTGGGGAAAAAATTGGGGATTGGTCCTGCTTTGAGCAGGGGGCTTGGACTAGATGACCTCCTGAGGTCCCTTCCAACCCTGATATTCTATGATTACCAAAAGGTGCTGAATATTATTATGGCACATTTTAACTCACGTAATCTGTTAATTATCTGGGATTATAGCTTTTGGGTGTTTTGTTTTAAATGAGGATTTTAAATCCCCTGTAATTCTTTCGAGGTTCTCGGAAATCATCTGCTCATTGATGGTCTGCAGGGCTGGTAAATACCATGTGCTGGGTCACGGCATTAAATTGCACCTTTAACAGCATCAAAGTGTAACCCGGAACACTGCCTCTGTGAGTGCAATGGGGCCAGGATAACATGAGAGGGCGGGGTAACCTCAGCGTTTGAATCCCATAAATTGTGTGTGTTGGGAACTGTCCAGCTCAGTGCTGCAGTAACACAGGGTTTTTTGAGCCCCCACCCTCATCTCCATTAATGTGAAGGGGAAATTCTGTTAACCAAAAGAGGCTTGGGGAAACTTCCCCCAGCCTTGTCTTCTGAGGGAAGAGACACAGCTATGAAGCCTCCGCTCCCTGCTTTGGAGTCCCCCAGTAACAGGATTGGGGTGTGGTGCGATGAGCAGGAATGGCTTCCTGTCCATTTCCCAGCCAGCTGGGAGAATGGCAGAGCCTGCCTCTGCACAGCCTGTGGTGCGCTCCCCTCACGCGGGCTGATGACTGAAATGGACAGAAGCTTGTGCAGGGGGGAGGGAGCTGGAGGCCTTCCTGAGGCCCCATGGAAAGGGAGCGGCCCACTCAGAGTGAGAACAAGGAACAGTCACAGGGCTGGGCGTCTCCCTCCCTCTCTCTGTTCCTCTCTCTCGCTGTTTACCGTGGAGTTGCCTCAAAGCCAGCCATTCCGTTGCCAGGGCAACCCCAGGACCACACCGAACATGTTGTGAATTCTGGAGGCAGAGAACAGGCCTTAGATCTCCCGACTAGTCGGGCAGCAGAAGGGGGCTGAAATGGGTGTGGCGGGGGATGTTTCCTCCTCTCCATTTCCTGCGGCCGGTAATAACAGCTTTCCTGGAACACTCTCAAGGCAGACAGCGTCCAGAGGGGGGTAGGGAAAGGAGACTGGACAGAAATACCCCAAAAGAGTAGAGTTCAAGTGTAGCTGGACAAAAGTGGAGGGAAGAGCGTTCGATCAGGCTATGAAGGTGACATGTACAAGAAAGGCCAGGAGGCGATAGTGGCTAGGGTGACCAGATAGCAAGGGTGAAAAATCAGGACGGGGGTGGAGTGTAATTGCCATCTATAAACGACAAAGCCCCAGATATCGGGACCATTCCTATAAAACTGGGACATCTGGTTACCCTATCAGTGGGTAGGCTGGGAAACAGAGATCAAGGCAGAAGGGGCTTTCTACGGCTGCTGCTGCTGCTGTTATTGCTTTGGGAATGGCTGGGTGTGAGAACTGAAGGGGAACACCCAGCTGATCATTCCTCACACTGTGCCAAGGGGAAGAGGGGGAGGGTTGCTATAGTAATGGTCTCTGTTGTGTAACCCCCCTTCCTCTCATTCACTCCCTCCACTTCCAGCTGCGTGTATGTGTTTAACCGAGCGAGAGTCATGGGTATTATTATTTCTTTATGCAGCACCACATGTGCATGTGATGCATGCATAATGTGTCACTGTCCTGCTCTGGGGCTCACACAGCCTAGGAGCACAAGCCCCCTGGTTCTTTTTGGGTATGTCTACCCTGCAATGTAAGCGCAGGGTTAGTGAGACTCGAGTCAGCTGACCCATGTTAGGGAACCTTGGGCATGATCATCTACATTGTATTTAAACTCCATGTTAAAACT